GGCACTTGTCATCTCCCATCTGGATTACTGCAACTCGCTGTTGGCTGGGCTCCCTGCCTGTGCCATTAAACCCCTACAACTCATCCAGAACGCTGCAGCCCGTCTGGTGTTCAACCTTCCCAAGTTCTCTCACGTCACCCCGCTCCTCCGCACACTCCACTGGCTTCCAGTTGAAGCTCGCATCTGCTACAAGACCATGGTGCTTGCCTACGGAGCTGTGAGGGGAACGGCACCCTCCTTACCTTCAGGCTCTGATCAGTCCCTACACCCAAACGAGGGCATTGCGTTCTTCCACCTCTGGCCTGCTGGTCCCCCTACCTCTGCGGAAGCACAGTTCCCGCTCAGCCCAGTCAAAACTGTTCAATGCTCTGGCACCCCAATGGTGGAACAAGCTCCCTCACGACGCCAGGACAGCGGAGTCACTGACCACCTTCCGGAGACACTTGAAACTCTACCTCTTTAAGGAATACCTGGGATAGTATAAAAGTCATCATTCTACCCCCCCCCCCCCCCTACCCCACCCCCACAATTTAAAAAAAATATAATATATATATATAAATAAAAAACGATTAGGATAGAATTATAAATATACTCAAAAAATTAAGAATTACAAAATTTGAAAAAAATTAATTAAAAAATAAAATTGTAAAGTGGTTGTCCCACTGGCTATCATAAGGTGAATGCACCAATTTGTAAGTCACTCTGGATAAGAGCGTCTGCTAAATGACGAAAATGTAAATGTAAGTAAATAATTCAGCCAATTTGTGTATTGATGATTCATCAATTAGGTTAGGGTTTTTGCAGGTTCAAGGATTATGCGACTTTCAGAATGAGACTGATAAGAGGTAATTATTTGATAAGTGACTGTTATCGATATATAACATATATATCTTCTAAGAGTTTAATTCGGGAGATGGTAACTCGTTAAACAACTTATTCCGTGGTGCCCCAAATTCCTAATGAGTTAATTGTCACATGATTAATTTAATCGATTGACAATTAAATATAGTTAGGGGATTCGATAAATAACAGTCATACATTAAAGTAAGTCACGTCACGACACTGTCTATTTACCACCCACAAACTGATGCTGGCACTAAGACCGCACTCAACAAGCTGTATAGGGCCATAAGCAAACAAGAAAATGCTCATCCAGAGGCGGCACTCTTAGTGGCCGGTGATTTTAATGCATGAAAACTGAAATCGGTTTTACCTCATTTCTACCAGCATGTCACCTATGCAACAAGAGGGAAAAAAATTCTAGATCACTTTTACTCCACACAGAGACGCAGACAACGCCCTACCCTGCCCTCCATTTGGCAAATCGGACCATAACTCTAGCCTCCTGATTCCTGCTTACAAGCAAAAACTCAAACTGGAAGTACCAGTGACACGCTCAATACAGAAGTGGTCCGATGAAGCAGATGCTAAGCTACAGGACTGTTTCGCTAGCACAGACTTGAATATGTTCTGGAATTCATCCAGATGGCATTGAGGAGTTTACCACGTCAGTCACCGACTTCATTAATAAGTGCATTGACGACGTTGTCCCCACAGTGACCGTACGTACATATCCCAACCAGAAACCATGGATTTCAGGCAACATCCGCACTTAGCTAAAGGCTAGAGCTGCCGCTTTCAAGGAGCAGGACACTAATCCGAATGCTTATAAGAAATCCCGCTACGCCCTCCGATGAACCATCAAACAGGCAAAGCATCAATTCAGGACTAAGATGGAATCCTACTACACCGGCTCTGATGCTTGTCGGCTGTGGCAGGGCTTGCAAACTATCATGAATTGCAAAGGGAAACCCAGCCGAGAGCTGCCCAGTGACGCGAGCCTACCAGACGAGCTAAATGTCTTCTATGCTCGCTTTGATGCAAGCAACACTGAATCATGCGTGAGAGCACCAGCTGTTCCGGACGACTGTATGTATGATCACACTCTAAAAAACCAGTCTAAATGACTACTGCCCCATAGCACTCACATCTGTAGCCATGAAATGCTTTGAAAGGCCGGTCATGGCTCACATCAACACCATCATCCAGAAACCTTGGACCCACTCCAATTCATGTACCACCCCAACAGATCCACAGATAACAAAATCTCTATTGCACTCCACACTGCCCTTTCTCACCTGGACAAAAGGAACACCTACGTGAGAATGCTGTTCATTGACTACAGCTCAGCGTTCAACACCATAACGCCCTCCAAGCTCATCACTAAGCTAAGGACCCTTGAACTGAACACCTCCCTCTGCAACTAGTTCCTGGACTTCCTGACGGCCACCCCCAGGTGGTGAGGGTAGGCAACAACACATCTGCCACGCTGAACCTCAACACGGGGGCCTTCAGGGGTGCATGCTCAGTCCCCTCCTGTACCCCCTATTCACCCACGATTGAATGGCCATGCATGACTCCAACACCATCATTAAGTTTGCAAAACGACACGACGGTGGTAGGCCTGATCAGCGACGACGATGAGACAGCCTATAGGGAGAAGGTCAAAGACCTGGCAGTGAGGTGCCAGGACAACAACCTCTCCCTCAACATGGGCAAGACAAAGAAGCTTACCGTGGACTACAGGAAACGGAGGGCAGAAACACGCCCCCATTCACATCGACAGTGCTGTAGTGGAGCGGGTCGAGAGTTTCAAGTTCATCTGTGTCCACATCACTAAGGACCTATCATGGTCCAAACACACCAACACAGTCATCAAGAGGGCACGATAACGCCTCTTCCCCCTTAGGAGGCTGAAGAAATGTGGCATGGGCCCTCAGATCCTCAAAAAGTTATACAGCTGCTTTTTTTGGGGTGGGGTAAGTGGGGGTAGAAGGATTACTTTATCCTATCCCAGGTATTCCTTAAAGAGGTGGGGTTTCAAGTGTCTCCGGAAGGTGGTGAGTGACTCCGCTGTCCTGGCATCGTGAGGGAGCTTGTTCCACCATTGGGGTGCCAGAGCAGCGAACAGTTTTGACTGGGCTGAGCGGGAACTGTGCTTCCGCAGAGGTAGGGCAGAGGTGGATTAACACAATGCCCTCGTTTGGGTGTAAGGACTGATCAGAGCCTGAAGGTACGGAGGTGCCGTTCCCCTCACAGCTCCGTAGGCAAGCACCATGGTCTTGTAGCAGATGCGAGCTTCAACTGGAAGCCAGTGGAGTGTGCGGAGGAGCGGGGTGACGTGAGAGAACTTGGGAAGGTTGAACACCAGACGGGCTGCAGCGTTCTGGATGAGTTGTAGGGGTTTAATGGCACAGGCAGGGAGCCCAGCCAACAGCGAGTTGCAGTTATCCAGACGGGAGATGACAAGTGCCTGGATTAGGACCTGTGCCGCTTCCTCAATAGTTGAGTTGATGATGTAGGACTCTGGTTTGCCCACCAGAGATCCCAATGTCCTTGATAGAGTTTCTGGTCGTAGTTGTGGTTGGAATGGATACTTCAAATGTACCAGCGGTTGTCTGAGAGAGATTGTCCTCTCCTCTCGTGGCTTTAGTGAAAGTTCTAGACGACTATACATGCCAGCTGCAGACTGAAATTATAAGGTCTAGTGCATTGTCTTCTTCTTCACCTCGTGTAGAGGTTGAGTGTTTCAGAGTTTCTCCATTTCAAATGTGTGGAATAACGTCTCACGTTTTCTGGTCTTTCTGGTCTAACCATTTTGTAACGTGTAGCTTCAGCATCGCGCTTCTTGGTCTTGTAAAATTCAACCATTTGCAACATCCGGCTAAACCGTAGTATGCGTGGTCTTCCTTTGGTAATAGAGTTGTAGTATTAAACCATTTTGTAACGTTTAGCTCACACTTCACGTCTGCTGGTCTTGTAGAGTGTCAACCATTTTAAGCTGTTGGCTTCCTGGTCTGAGGTGAATTTCATCACGAGGCTTTTTATGCACTCGGGGTAAAAGGGGCATTCCATCATGTTTGTGCTCATCTGGGCGTGGCCACTGAATGACAACAAATCAATATTTTTTCAAATAAAACTCACATTGAGCAAAAATCATTGGGTTAGTTCAGTATTCCGTGTCAGCGCAACCATTTTCCAATTTCCCAATTTATCCAGCCGACTTTTTAAGCTACATTAACTTTTTATGAGTTTTACAGTGTAGGTCTACAGAACCATTAGCATTCTGGCTGAGACTGACATCTGATTTGTATCATTTACAGGAAACTGAGGTCATTTTGGCCTGCCATTAGATGCAGTTAAACTTTGATGATAGTCAATGCATTGTATCATGTTTGAAACAAATGGAGAATTGAATTAATGTATTGTCAAATCCCTTATGTTTATAATATGCCTGAGAGAAAGTGCATTTTAATTCCCACAAGAGTAGATAATCCTCCCACCTCCCACACAGACGTTAACCAATATTGTGAAATATACAGGTCAATCATTAAGACAAGCTATCAGACATTACTTAGCAGGCGTAAGCTGCTCAATATGCAGAACGGTTGAATTATTTCAACTTACTCCAAAATACATAATCAAAGTTAACCTTGGCTAAGCATAATGCACAACCAGGCATACAAATAATGAACTGAAATTCCACACCAAAAAACGGTCCTAAAAATACCCACAGATCAAATGTAACAACTTTGTATCTGGCTTGAAAGCACACTTTAGGATGACGTTTCCTCCTTGAGAGTGGCATAGTAATCTCTGCCCTTGATTGAGTTCAGTAGAGACTGAGGAACTGAAACAATGCGGACACTGCTCAACGTGACTGAGTCACCTGGAGCAGTGGCCCTTAAGAGGAGGTACTTTATTCCCCCCCCCCCCCCCCCCCCCTTTGAGAGGACATATAAATGGGTTAGCCTGTGAGTCCATAGAACTCTGCCCTCATCAGAGAGTGACAAAGAAAGAAAGAAACTCTCTCAGGACTACTCAAAGAACTTTGAGAACAGATTTTGCTGCATTTTATTTATTTATTGATCTACTTATTTGGTTAAATGCCATGCAGAACTTGCCTCTTGCTGCTAGGAGCAGCATTGTTGACTTGCACCATGGGCCTGGTCGTTGAGGGTACGGCGCTGGGAGCACCCCAGGGGTCGCACCCGGAGCCATGGGTTGTGGGATCGAACCACAGCCAAGCTGGAGGGGGCCATGGGTCCAGCATCTCAGGGATACAAATCGTGACCTTTAAGTGGCACCATGTGGAAGCCCCCTACCTCATCGCCTTATGGATACTGGTGGCTGGGGTATCCAAGATGGGTATGTATACAGAAGGGGATGTGATCAGCTCCAGTGGCCTATCAATCAGACATTGGTGGCTAATTTGAATTCAGTCCTAATGAAGATTATGCTAAATCAATGTTTTAATTCAGTGTTTTGAACCTTTGGGAAGAGCAGTTGTGAGAAAATAAGCACTTCAACTGGAGACCCAGACTGTATTCAGGCTCCACTTTGGAAAGTTATTTCATAGTTTTAGAATAATGTTAGACACAAAACTGCTATGTCAGGGAAGATACTGTGGCGTTAGTATCATTCAAAATGATGCTGGCAGACAGATATGTGACTACATTTCCCAATTGAGTCTTATGTACCATTTCTAATATTGGCTTTTTGTACATTTGATAAAAGTACAGACTCAGAGCTTTAAAATGGTATATCATACACTGCAGTTGGGGAAAACATGGGAAAGTTATGTTTATTTGAAATGTGATGAACTTGTTATTCCAGAAAATCCACTTGAAAGTTTCTCACTTGCTGGAGAGCTCTTTTTTGAGTATGCCCATTCAGCATCATTCACACCCTCTTCAGCCTTAGCCCCACCCATCTCCCCCATTTAAGTATTAAAGTGAGGCCATGTGCTAAACTGAGTGAATAGGATTTGAGGTAAATTTTAAACACCAGACAGATCAAAGGGAGCAGGCAATACCATCCATCCAATGAGAACAAATTCTGTCTTTTGTGTTGCATTTGTGCCATAAATAGGCCCAACATAAGGCTACTACTGTCTGGCAACTGTAGCCCTTGTCAGTGTTATCAAGGCAACACGCTGTTCTCCCGGCCAAGTGCTTTTAGCTTTTTACTCAAGTTCATGGGATATATTAAGACATTCCATAGATAACTGTTCAGAAATGTTGACAATGGTTTTTGAGTAGGTGTGAAATAAGAGTGAATATGGCATCTTCTTAAATACATACAGTACTTTTTATATTCAAGGCCAATCATTGTGCTTCAGACAGGAACAGTGCCTATGTCCAAAACCGTGCCAAAAATGTTGAACATTTAGAAAAAGGGAAGAAAAAGCAGACAAAGGGGAGCAAATGGTGAGCAAAAATGTATGTTTTTTTAAATTAAAAGTTTCTCCAAACAAGTAAAGAATAATTTACTCAAAGATACCTTTCTAAGAGTTAGTCTGGAATGGTCTCCAATCCATATAACTAACCAATAACCATAAATGTCACAAATGAAAAATCCTTTGAACAACAGCTCGTGGGTCCTGCTTATCTATTTGTTTACTTAACATTTCACTAATTTATCCCAGATCCGGAGTGTTGGGTATAAATCACTTGAGTATAAGTAACACATAAAATGGATTAAAACTCTCCAAACAGCTTTTGCAACTTGCTAAATATTTTATTTTCAGAGCCAAGGTCCTCTAGGATAAATAAACAGAATAGTAAAGGATAATCTAAACTGAATCTTTAATTTAGTTTTCAGCAGTCAAAGGCAACACTTAGCCTTAAACACCTCAGCAGAAGATCCAGCCCTGAGGTACAAGAAAGTTACAGCCCTCAGCACTGTGGGTGGATGACAAATCCAGAGGTTGCTGTGCATTGTCAGTGAATATCTCCACATTAAGATGTAGAAGAAGTAACCTGAATAATAAGTGGATTCTGAAAAAAGATTTCTGACTTCTGAGAAATCCCTGCCTCGTGCCACTTATCCAGAGTGTGAGTGAGTGATGAGCACATTTATAATGGTACGCTGCCAATTAGTCATACTCCAGGGACAAAACACTTTCTCAGTCTTCCGAAATGGTTGATCATTTGCAAACGTCATAACCTCACACATATTTTAATCCCTTTGCTTTACCGTTTAGTTACAGATTTGAGTTTTAACACCTTCCTGTGTGTGAATCCCAAGAAAGTTGTCAAAAAGGAACAGCTGTCAATGTCTGACTCCGTAGTATCCTGTGGGCATCTTAATCCCGTTATTGCCCAAGGATCAACAAAGTGTAGGGAGGCCAGACCCTGTATTCATAAAGCGTCTCAGAGTATGAGTTCTGATCTAGGATCAGGTCCTCCCAGTCCATGTATACTTATTCAGTGTGATCTTAAGGCAAAACTGAGCCTAAATCAACACTCCTACTCTGAGACGCTTTATGAATATAACCCCAGGGATCAAGAAAGTGTAAGGACTGAACTTCTTACATAATTACGCTCAAATAGTGCCAGCAACTCGGCCCTGAAAAAATTATGTTGACTTCAGAGGTTTGCCAGACAGCGAGCAGAGCACAAGCGCCATGGACTCTCTCTGAGGCATCATTTTGAGTAATAAAGCAGGAATGATTGGCTGGGTTGGTGCCTGAGACATTTTATGGTCCAGGTCTGTTTGACTTGGCTTGGCTGCACCTGAATCTACCAAAATTATCCCTGTTATCTTTTCTACTCGCTTACCCTCTTTGGCTCTCATTTTCTCTACGTATCTCTGACTTTATCTCTTGTCCTTGTCTCCCTCTGTTCCCCAACAGTGGTCGAGCTGAACCACAGCCTGACCAGTGTGATCCCGGAGAGCGCCCTCCTCATCTGCATCGGTTGGATCCTGGGCGGCATCATCTATGGGGCAGACAAGGTGCAGACCTTCTCCCTGACACCCACCGTCTTCTTCTTCTATCTGCTGCCCCAGGTCATCCTGGATGCGGGCTACTTCATGCCCAACAAGCTGTTCTTCAGCAACATGGGCGCCATCCTGGTTTACGCTGTGATTGGCACCTGCTGGAACGCTGCCACTGTGGGTCTCAGCCTCTGGGGGTGCTGGTTGGGCGGGGCCATGGGTAAGGCAGCCAACGTGTTCGTCCCAAATGGCACCCCATTCACTATGCAGTATTGTACACTTCTTTTGACCAGGGGGCCCTGGTTAAAAGTAGTGACTATATAGGGAATAGGGTGTCATTTGGGACTGGCCCAACCAAAGCTTTAACTGATCATTGAAACTGGCATTTGTGAGGTCCTCAATCAGCAAGTTAATGGGTAAGGTAGTTTAAAGGTCTGAGATCATTACACCTTTCACTCTGGGCCTTTGCAGGTGATATCGACATTGGTCTCCTTCAGTTCCTGTTGTTTGGGAGTCTAATTGCTGCTGTGGGACCCCGTGGCTGTGATTGCCGTGTTTGAGGAGGGTCCATGTCAACGAGGTCCTGTTCATCATGGTGTTTGGGGAGTCCCTCCTCAATGATGGTGTCACAGTGGTTCGTCTCACATTTTTCATCCTCATTCAACATTATTAGGTGGTGTGTCTCTAGTCAAAAGTAGTTCAATATGTAATAATTGTAACACATTGAAAGCAGGGGTGTCACGGTTTCCGGCCGAGGCGCCTCTCTCCCTTGTTCGGGCAGGCTTCGGGGTTCGTTGTCTGTCTCCGGAATAACTAGCTGCCACGTTGTATGTTTCATGGGTTTTAAACCCCCCCCCCCCTTTTTTAAAGGGGGGGTTTTTTTGGGGGGGGGGGGGAAAAAAAAAAAGGGGGGGGCCCCCGGGGGGGGGGGGCCCCCCCCCCTTTGGGGGGCCCCCCCCCCAAAGGTTTTTTCCCCCGGGGGGCCCCCCGGGGTTTTTGGGGGGGGGGGGGGGGCCCCCTTTTTTTGGGGGCCGGGGGGGGCCCCAAAAAAATTTTTGGGGGAAAAAAATTGGGTTTTTTTTTTTTAAAAAGGGGGGGGGGGGGAAAAAAATTTTTTTTTTTCCCCCCCCTTTTTGGGGGGGGGGAAAAAATTTTTTTGGGGGGGTTTTTTTTTTTTTGGGGGTTTTTTTTTTTTTTCCCCCTTTTTCCCCAACCTTTTCTTTTTAAACCCCCGCTGTTTGGGGGGGGTTTTTTTTTTTTTGGGGGGGGGGCCCCCCCCCGGGGGGGGGGGGGCCCCCCCGTTGGGGGGTTCGGGCCCCCCCCCCGGGGGGTTTTTTTTTAAAAAAAAAAATAAAAAAAAAAGGGGGTTTTGGGGGGCCCCCTTTTTTTCCCCCAAATTTTTTGGGGGGGTTTTTTAATTTTTTTTTTTTTCCCCCTTTTTTTTTCCCCCTTTTTTTTTTCCCCCCCCCTTTTTTAAAAAAATTTTTTTCCCCCTTTTTTTCCCCCTTTCCCCTTTTTTTTTCCCCCTTTTCCCCCCCCCTTTTTTTTTTTGGGGGTTTTTTTTCCCCCCCGGGGGGGAAAAAAATTTTTTTTTTTTAAAAAACCCCCTTTTGGGTTTTTTTCCTTTTTTTTCCCCCCCCGGGTTTTCCCCGGGGGTTTTTTTTTCCCCCCCCTTTTTTTTTTCCCCCCCCCTTTTTTTTTTTTTAAAAAAATTTTTTTCCCCCCCCCCTTTTTTTTTCCCCCCTTTTTTTTTTTTTTCCCCCTTTTTTTTTTTCCCTTTTGCCCCCCCCCCTTTTTTTTTTTTTTTTGGGTTTTTCCCCCCCCTTTTTCCCCGGGGGGCTTTTTCCCCCCCTTTTTTTCCCCTTTTTTTTTTTTTTCCTTTTTTTTTTGGGAATTTTTTCCCCCTTTGGGGGGGTTTTTGGGGGGGGCCCCCCCTTTTTTTCTGTGCCCCATTTTTTTTTTTCCCGCCTTTTTTTCCCCCCCTTTTTTTTTTGTTGGGTTTTTTTTCCCCCCCCAAAAAAAAGGGGAACCCCCCTTTTTTCCCTTTTTGGGAAAAAATTCCCCTTTTTGGGGTTTTGGGGGGGTTCCCCCTTTAGGGTTTTTCCAATTTTTTTTTTTTTGCCCCCCCCCCCCTTTTTTCCCCCCCCTTTTTTTAAACCCCCCCTTTTTCCCCCAAAACCCGGGCCCCCCCCCTCCGGGTTTTTTATTTCCCCCCCAAAGGGGGGAAAACCCCCCAATTTGGGGGGGCCCCCCCCGGGACCCCCCCCCCCCCCGGGGGGGGCCGCCCCCCCCCCGGGCCCGGGGCCCCCCGGGGGGGAAGGGGGGGGGCCCCCGGGGGGCCGGGTGCCAGGGTTTCCTTCTCCAGGTGGAGCTGTACCTGGCCACCGTGCACCCGGCGCCCTGGGACATGAGAGCGTGTCCGCCCTGATCTCCTGCCTGTCCGGGAAGGCGTTGGAATGGGCCAACGCGGAGTGGAGGAGGATCGACGCGGACACCATAACTTACAACGAGTTCTCCCGCCGCTTCAAGGCGGTGTTTGACCATCCCCTGGAGGGGAGAGCGGCGGGGGAGCGGCTGGTCTTCCTCCGGCAGGGGAAGAGGAGTGCTCAGGAGTTCGCCCTCGAATTCCGATCACTACAGGTGTAGTCTACGAGAGGACGTCCGTCGGGAGCTGGCCTGTAGGGACACCAGCCTCACGTTCGACCAGTTGGTCGACATGTCCATCAGGCTGGATAACCTGCTAGCTACCCGCGGACGTTCCGAGGGGGGTCCGTCCATTTCACCCTCCAGCTCTTCCGAGCCGTGCCCCATGGAGCTCGGGGGCGCTGGCGCTAGAGAGAGGAGGGGTCGGCTTACTAGGGGGTCCATCCCCTGCACCAACTGTGGTCGGGGAGGACACACCGCGGCTAGGTGCTGGGGATGGCCTCCTAGGGGAGAGGACGACAGGTCCCGCACTGGGGATTCCCTCCAGGTGAGTAGGCGCCCCACTCACCCAGAGCTCTCTGTTGCACAGTTTTGTATGCCTGTGCGTTTTCCACAGGTAGCACCTCATTCCCAGCATAAGGCGCTGGTAGATTCAGGCGCGGCTGGGAATTTTATTGATAAGAAGTTTTGTTTAGCTTTAGGGATTCCCCTTCTTCCTGTTGATGTTCCTTTCCCCGTTCATGCCCTAGATAGCCGTCCGTTGGGTGCGGGCTTGATCAGGGAGGTCACTGCGCCACTTAGGATGTGTGCGCAGGGGGGTCATCAGGAGATGATTCAGCTATTTCTGATTGACTCTCCTGCGTATCCGGTGGTGCTGGGCATGCCCTGGTTGAGTACCCATAACCCATCCATTTCGTGGCAGGAGAGGGCTCTGATGGATTGGTCTGCCCAGTGTGTGGGTAGATGTTTAGGCGTTTCCGTAGGGGCTACCTCGGTGGAGAGTCCAAACCAGGTGCCCGCATTGCACGTTCCCCCTGAGTATGGGGATTTGGCTATTGCGTTTAGTAAGTCGAGGGCGACGCAGTTGCCGCCCCATAGGCAGGGAGATTGTGCGATAGACCTCCAGGCAGGAGCTGCGCTCCCACGGAGCCATGTGTATCCTCTGTCTCAAGAGGAGAAGAAAGCTATGGAGACTTACATAGACGAATCTCTGAGACAAGGATACATACGGCCTTCCACTTCCCCTGCGTCCTCGAGTTTCTTTTTTGTGAAGAAAAAGGATGGTGGTTTGCGCCCGTGCATCGATTACCGTGGTCTCAATCAGATTACGGTGAAGTACAGTTATCCACTCCCGCTGATTGCGACCATGACTGAGTCGTTGCATGGGGCGCGTTTCTTCACTAAATTAGATCTCAGGAGCGCGTACAACTTGGTGCGCATCAGGGAGGGCGATGAATGGAAGACAGCCTTTAGTACCACCTCGGGCCATTACGAGTATCTGGTCATGCCATACGGGTTGATGAACGCTCCGTCAGTTTTCCAATCATTCGTGGATGAGATCTTCAGGGACATGCAGGGGCAGGGGGTGGTTGTGTACATAGATGACATTCTCGTGTACTCGCCTACCCGTGTCGAGCATGTGGTTCTGGTGCGTAGAGTGTTGCGGAGGCTGGTGGAGCACGACCTGTATGTGAAGGCAGAGAAGTGTCTGTTTTTCCAGGAGTCGGTCTCCTTTTTGGGGTATCAGTTGTCTGCGTCAGGGGTGAAGATGGAGGTAGACCGGGTGTCGGCTGTGCGTAATTGGCAAACACCAACCACTGTGAAGGAGGTGCAGCAGTTTTGGGGGTTTGCGAATTACTACTGGAGGTTTATCCGGGGTTTTGGACAGGTGGCAGCTCCCATCACGTCTCTTTTGAAGGGGGGTCCGGTGCGTCTGCAGTGGTCGGCCGAGGCGGACAGGGCGTTTGGGAGGCTGAAGGACCTGTTTACCTCGGCCCCGGTGCTGGCGCATCCGGATCCCTCTTTGCCGTTCCAGGTAGAGGTGGATGCGTCAGAGGCCGGTCTAGGAGCCGTGCTTTCACAACGGTCTTGCGCGCCACCTAAACTCCGCCCCTGTGCTTTTTATTCTAAGAAGCTCAGTCCGGCGGAGCGGAACTATGACGTAGGGGACAGGGAGCTGTTAGTCGTGGTACAGGCCCTAAAGGTGTGGAGGCACTGGCTTGAGGGGGCTCAACACCCTTTCCTCATTTTGACGGACCACCGTAACCTGGAGTACATCCGGGCAGCGAGGAGGCTGAACCCTCGCCAGGCAAGATGGAATATGTTCTTGACCAGGTTTACTTTTAAGATCACGTACATCCCTGGGTCACAGAACGGTAAGGCAGATGCGCTGTCTCGGCGGTATGACACGGAGGAGACGTCCGTGGAGCCCACTCCCATACTGCCGGAGTCGTGTCTGGTGGCACCGGTAGTGTGGGAGGTCGATGCTGAACTCGAGCGGGCGTTACGCACCGACCCTAGTCCACCACAGTGCCCGGAGGGTCGGAAGTACGTTCCGCTCGAGGTTCGGGATCGATTGATCTATTGGGCTCACACGTCACCCTCCTCTGGACATCCGGGTATCGGCCGGACAGTGCACTGTCTTAGTGCCAAGTACTGGTGGCCCACGTTGGCAAGGGATGTGAGGGTTTATGTTTCCTCCTGCTCGGTGTGCGCCCAGTGTAAGGCGCCTAGACATCTGCCTAGGGGTAAGTTACTACCCCTGCCCGTGCCACAACGACCATGGTCCCACCTCTCGGTGGATTTCCTTACTGACCTTCCTCCTTCACAGGGGAATACCACTATACTGGTCGTTGTGGACCGGTTTTCTAAGGCCTGTCGTTTGCTCCCCATGCCGGGCCTTCCTACCGCCCTGCAAACTGCCGAAGCCCTATTCACCCATGTGTTCCGGCACTACGGGGTACCCGAGGATATTGTGTCTGATCGGGGTCCCCAATTTACCTCCAGAGTCTGGAGGGCCTTTATGGAGCGGTTGGGGGTCTCGGTGAGCCTCACCTCGGGTTACCACACGGAGAGTAATGGGCAGGTGGAACGTGTAAACCAGGATGTGGGCAGGTTTCTAAGAACATACTGCCAGGACCGGCCGGAGGAGTGGGCAAGGTACGTTCCCTGGGCCAAAATGGCCCAGAATTCCCTACGCCATTCCTCCACTAACCTAACCCCTTTCCAATGTGTGTTAGGTTACCAGCCGGTTCTGGCACCCTGGCAGAAGAGCCAGATCGAGGCTCCTGCGGTGGATGAGTGGGTGAGGCGCTCGGAGGAGACATGGAACGCTGCACACGTCCACCTGCAGCGGGCCCTCCGACGTCATAAGGCGAGCGCCGATCTCCACCGCAGTGAGGGACCGGTGTACGCACCTGGTGATCGAGTCTGGCTCTCTACCAGAAACCTGCCCCTCCGCCTGCCCTGTCGGAAACTGGGTCGACGGTTTGTAGGGCCATTTAAAGTCCTGGGAAGGTTGAACGAGGTGTGTTATAAATTACAGCTACCTGTTGAATATAAAAGTATTAACCCCTCGTTCCATGTGTCCCTTCTCAGGCCGGTGGTAGCTGGCCCACTCCAAGAAAGTGAGATCAGGGAGACTCCTCCGCCCCCATTGGACATCGAGGGGGCATCGGCGTACTCTGTGAGGTCCATCTTGGATTCGAGACGTCGGATGGGGGGTCTCCAGTATCTAGTGGAGTGGGAGGGGTACGGTCCGGAGGAGCGGTGCTGGGTGCCGAGGAGAGACATTTTGGACCCGTCTCTCCTGACGGAATTCCATCGTGGGCACCCGACGCACCCTGCTCCGCGTCCTCCGGGTCGTCCCCGAGGCCGGAGTCGGCGCACGTCTGGAGCCGCGCGTCAAGGGGGGGGTACTGTCACGGTTTCGGCCGAGGCTGCCTCTCTCCCTTGTTCGGGCAGGCTTCGGCGTTCGTTGTCTCCGGAATACTAGCTGCCACCGTTGTATGTTTCATGTTCGTTTGCTTTTGTCTGATTGTTGTCACACCTGTTTTCATTTAGTGTCATTAGTGTCCTATTTAGTTCTCGTTGTGTTTGTCAGGTGTTGTGTGTTATTGATTTTTGTCAGTCGTGTTTTTTCGCTCGGTTGAGCTTCTCTCCACTGCGCTGGAGTTATTTCGCACCTGTTTTGTGCGCTGTTGTTTCATTTTCGCCTTCGTGCGTATTTCGCCTTCGGGCAAGTGTTGTCCGTTTGCCGGTTTTGGCATTAATACAAGTCTGTTGGATTATCCGTCTGCGTCCTGCGTTTGATTCCACCACTGCACCTACAGCACGCGTTGACAAGGGGTATTCAAACTTTTTCAGCAGGGACCCCATTTTTTTCACCAGAATTTCTGAGGACGCCCAATTTTTTCTGCCGACACCACTCCACCCAAAATCTAATTACACAACGTTAAATTCAGTACATTTAGATTTTCACATTAACAAATAACATTCAATTCATTACATTTTCATCTTTCTAAGAAAACCAATACATACATTTACTCAATACAATTTTATTTTTCAAATTATCTTTCTCAATAATATATATTGTCCCATATATATTATATGTACTGTTCCCCCCCCCAAAAATAAAATAAATAAAGTTGCAATTTTATGTAATTTTTTGCCGACCCCACTGTAATTCCACGACACTGACTTTAAACACCACTGCATTAAAGAACGTAATGTTCTATTGAATTGGTTGCATTTCGTTCCCTAACCTCCCCACCTCCTCAGTGACCGGTCATCTTTATGTCCATGTTCCCTCAGGTGCTGTTCAATGTGTTTGATGCATTCGTGTCGCTGGGAGGGGCAGAAATCGATGCTGTAGAGATCATTAAAGGCATAAGTATGTAAGAGCTGCACACTGGCTGCATCGCAAATTAATGTTTCCCTATTAAGTGCACTACTTTTGACCAGAGCCCATAGTCAAAAGTCAAAAAAATCCAGAAAAAGGCATGTCAAAAATGTTATAAATTGATTTGCATTTTAATGAGGGAAATAAGTATTTGACCCCTCTGCAAAACATGACTTAGTACTTGGTGGCAAAACCCTTGTTGGCAATTACAGAGGTCAGACGTTTCTTGTAGTTGTCCACCAGGTTTGCACACATCTCAGGAGGGATTTTGTTCCACTCCTATTTGCAGATCTTCTCCAAGTCATTAAGGTTTCGAGGCTGACGTTTGGCAACTCGAAACTTCAGCTCCCTCCACAGATTTTCTATGGGATTAAGGTCTGGAGACTGGCTAGGCCACTCCAGGACCTTAATGTGCTTCTTCTTGAGCCACTCCTTTGTTGCCTTGGCCGTGTTTTTTGGGTCATTGTCATGCTGGAATACCCATCCACAACCAATTTTCAATGCCCTGGCTGAGGGAAGGAGGTTATCACCCAAGATTTGACGGTACATGGCCACGTCCATCGTCCCTTTGAAGCGGTGAAGTTGTCCTGTCCCCTTAGCAGAAAAACACCCCCAAAGCATAATGTTTCCACCTCCATGTTTCACGGTGGGGATGGTGTTCTTGGGGTCATAGGCAGCATTCCTCCTCCTCCAAACACGGCGAGTTGAGTTGATGCCAAAGAGCTCGATTTTGGTCTCATCTGACCACAACACTTTCACCCAGTTCTCCTCTGAATCATTCAGATGTTCATTGGCAAACTTCAGACGGCCCTGTATATGTGCTTTCTTGAGCAGGGGGACCTTACGGCAGGATTTCAGTCCTTCACGGCGTAGTGTGTTACCAATTGTTTTCTTGGTGACTATGGTCCCAACTGCCTTGAGATCATTGACAAGATCCTCCCGTGTAGTTCTGGGCTGATTCCTCACCGTTCTCATGATCATTGCAATTCCACGAGGTGAGATCTTGCATGGAGCACCAGGCCGAGGGAGAATGACAGTTATTTTGTGTTTCTTCCATTTGCGAATAATCGCACCAACTGTTGTCACCTTCTCACCAAGCTGCTTACCGATGGTCTTGTAGCCCATTCCAGCCTTGTGTAGGTCTACAATCTTGTCCCTGACATCCTTGGAGAGCTCTTTGGTCTTGGCCATGGTGGAGAGTTTGGAATCTGATTGATTGATTGCTTCTGTGGACAGGTGTCTTTTATACAGGTAACAAACTGAGATTAGGAGCACTCCCTTTAAGAGTGTGCTCCTAATCTCAGCTCGTTACCTGTATAAAAGACACCTGGGAGCCAGAAATCTTTCTGATTGAGAGGGGGTCAAATACTTATTTCCCTCATTAAAATGCAAATCAATTGATAACATTTTTGACATGTGTTTTTCTGGATTTTTGTTGTTGTTATTCTGTCTCTCACTGTTCAAATAAACCTACCCTTAAAATTATAGACTGACCATTTCTTTGTCAGTGGGCAAATGTACAAAATCAGCAGGGGATCAAATACTTTTTTCCCTCACTGTATGTAAGGAATAGGGTGCCATTTGTTGGATTCTCAGGCAAACTGCCAAGCCATAAACAACCCTGTCGCGTAATTAATAGTGACAGCTTCTTGTGCAATCTTGAAGCAAACTGAAAGGGTAATGCAACAGGCAACAGAGTATGTAATCTGTTTAACTAAAATGTTATGTATTCTTGAAATAATCAATATCTTTGTTCACTGTTTGCCTCTCCATATGTCCTTCTCCCTCTTCCTCCTCTATCTCTCTATTTCTCTCTCTGGCCCTCTCCTCTTTCGCGCTCTCATTCTCTCCCCCCTCTACCCTGTGTAGTCTCGTTCTTCGTGGTGGCATTCGGAGGCTCCCTGGTTGGTATTATCTTTGCTCTGCTGATCTCGCTCCTGACCAGATGCACCAAGAACATCCAGATCATTGAGCCAGGCTTCATCTTCGTCCTGGGCTACCTCTCCTACCTGACAGCTGAAATGCTCTCGCTATCCGCTATCTTGTCGTAAGTGCTTCTGAGTGTTATGTTAATTTATTAGGCCAACGATACCCTTTCCGTAAAGGGATGTTCCATTCAAAACACAACCTAACATGATTTTACCACTAGGCTATAATCGATTTGGATATGTATTTCAGTTACTTAGTATGTACAGGATGAGCCATTTATGAGCCTTATAGATGATTCTGGTCCACGATCTGGTCCACAATCTCTGGGGCCTCTACTCACCATGAAATACAATCCCTTTGCCTGCTGTGCCATAGGATCGTGTTCTGTGGCATCTGCTGTCAGAAGTATATCAATGCCAACATGGATGAGAGGTCGGTCACCACAGTACGATACGTCATGAAGGTGATCGCCAATGGCTCAGAGACCATCATCTTTGTTTTCCTCGGCATCTCGGCCATAGATCCAGCTATATGGGTGTGGAACACAGGCTTCATCCTCCTCACACTCCTCTTCATCTTTGTGTTCAGGTTCATAGGTCAGTTGTGATCTTTAGTGTGATTTTGTGAGATCACTGGAGATTCTATTTTCCTCAATCTTTATAGGATTAACAAAATTGTAGTTTAGAAGCTTAGGGCCGATTTATAAACTTGCAATCCCTGTGTGTGTAGCTCCATATTTTATGCAAGGATTCTCGTTCAAGGCTTCACATTACCAGCACTAACACACTCTGTGTGTATGTTTGTGTGTGTGTGTTTATATCACAGGGGTCTTTCTCCTCACCTGGATTCTGAACAAGTACCGACTGGTGCCCTTGGAGTTCATTGATCAGGTGGTGATGAGCTACGGTGGCCTACGAGGGGCAGTTGCCTATGGCCTTGTTGCCATGCTGGATGAGAATAAGTTCAACGAAAAGAATCTGATGGTCAGCACCACCCTCATAGTGGTGTACTTCACTGTCATGCTGCAGGTAAAATGGCTAATTTAAATGTCAAACTTCAGTCCATCACTATTTTACTAGTTGTGGAAACGGTTTTCTCTAATAATGTAATATGTCTTGACTTGAATAGACCGGTTTACTATATTTTCTTCTTCTTTGTTCAGGGAATAACCATGAAACCACTGGTCACCTGGCTGAAAGTGAAGAGGGCAGCAGTGACAGAACTCACACTAGCTGAAAAAATACAGAATAGGGTAACTATTTGGTTAGAAGTCTTCGATGTTCATCAACCCGAAAATCAGATAACAAACCATACATCTCTATTATACATCCCCAAAGTAAAGTTTCACCTTTTGTTGGGTCAGATCTTCAGGGTCAGATCACAAAAGTCAAACCCACCTCCAATATAGCTAAACACTTATTTTACAAGGCACTAACCATTTAATCTAACAGTGTTGAAATTGGTCGACCTAAATATAATCTTGACAAAATAAATCCATGACTCACCATTCTTTTTTATTTGTTCAGACCTTTGACCACATGCTTGTTGCCATAGAGGACATTTCTGGACAAATAGGACATAACTACATGAGAGACAAGTATGTGGACACTAACATCACATTATCAACTTCAATAAATGATTATCATATTATAAGTACGGTTCGAATTAATTTATCACATACCATACCTTGAAAGACAGAACATTAGAACAGAATTTTACTTGTTTCCTTTTCCTATCTTCTCGTATCCTTCTAAGGTGGCATAACTTTGAGGAGAGGTGGTTGTGCTGGTTCTTGATGAAGCCCTCTGCCAGGAAGTCTCGTGACTACATATTCAACATCTTCCACCAGCTCAACCTAAAGGATGCCATCAGCTATGTGAAGGAGGTAAGAGCAACTGACAAGGTCAGGGAAAGCCATGACAACTTAAAACTGTATTTACAAACACAATAGATTGACCACCAATATCACTGATCTACAGTGCCTTCGGAAAGTATTTAGACCCCTTGACTTTTTCCACATTTTGTTACGTTACAGCCTTATTCTAAAATGGATAAAATAAAATAAAATCCTTAGCAATCTACACACAATACCCCATAATGACAAAGCAAAAACAGGTTTTTTGAAATGTTTGCAAATGTATTAAAAATAAAAAACAGATACCTTATTTACATAAGTATTCAGACCCTTTGCAATGAGACTCGAAATTTAGCTCAGGTGCATCCTGTTTCCATTGATCATCCTTGAGATGTTTCTACAACTTGATTGGAGTCCACCTGTGGTAAATTCAATTGATTGGACATGATTTGGGAAGGCACACACCTGTCTATATAAGGTCCCACAGTTGACAGTGCATGTCAGAGCAAAAACCAAGCCATGTGGTCGAAGGAATTGTCCGTAGAGCTCAGAGACAGGATTGTGTCGAGGCAAAGATCTGGGGAAGGGTGCCAAACAATTTCTGCAGCATTGAAGGTCCCCAAGAACACAGTGGACTCCATCATTCTTATATGGAAGAAGTTGGAACCACCAAGACTCTTCCTAGAACTGGCCGCCAAACTCAGCAATTGGGGGAGAAGGGCCTTGGTCAGGGAGGTGACCAAGAACCCGATAATCACTCTGACAGAGCTCTACAGTTCCTCTGTGGAGATGGGAGAACCTTCCAGAAGGACAACCAACTCTGCAGCACTCCACCTATCAAGCCTTTATGTTGGAGTGGCCAGACGGATGCCCCTCCTCAGTAAAAGGCACATGACAGCCTGCTTGGAGTTTGCCAAAAGGCACCTAAAGACTCTCAGACCATGAGAAACAAGATTCTCTGGTCTGATGAAACCAAGATGAACTCTTTGGCCTGAATTCCAAGCGTCATGTCTGGAGGAAACCTGGCACCATCCCTACGATGAAGGCATGGTGGTGGCAGTATCATGCTGTGGGGATGTTTTTCAGCGGCAGGGACTGGAAGACTACTCAGGATCGAGGCAAAGATGAACGGAGCAAAGTACAGAGAGATCCTTGATGAAAACCTGCTCCAGAGTGCTCAGGACCTCAGACTGGGGCGAAGGTTCACCTTCCAACAGGACAATGACCCTAAGCACAAAGCCAAGACAACGCAGGAGTGGCTTCGGGACAAGTCTCTGAATGTCCTTGAGTGGCCCAGCCAGAGCCCGGACTTTAACCCGATCGGACATCTCTGGATAGACCTGAAAATAGCTGTGCATCAACGCTCCCCATCCAATCTGACAGAGCTTGAGAGGATCTGCAGAGAAGAATGGGAGAATCTCCCCTAATACAGGTGTGCCAAGCTTGTAGCATCATTCCCAAGAAGACTGGAGGCTGTAATAGCTGCCAAAGGTGCTTCAACAAAGTACTGAGTAAAGGGTCTGAATACTTATGTAAATGTAATATTTGTATTTACTTATTTTTTTAAATTATAAATTAGCAAAAATGTCTAGAAAACCTTGTTTTGCTTTGTCATTACTGGGTATTGTGTGTAGATTGATGAGGGGGAAAAAAGAATTTAATCAATTTTAGAAAAAGGTTGTAATGTAACATAATGTGGAAAAAGTCAAGGGATCTGAATACTTTCCGAAGGCACTGTACAGTAACAAATAGAACAATTGGATGGCAGACCATGAAGTCTTCTTATGCTCCCATCGTAGGGAGAACGCAGAGGCTCATTGGCGTTCGTTCGGAATGAGACCAAGGCGGATGTGGATTTCAATAAGAAGTTTCGTGCCAATTTCTCTGAGATTATGCCTGACATCATGGCAGATAATATGGGACCGGATCATGTTCCACTCTCCTCCATCTTGTAAGCAACATTTCCTGACTTTAGGGTTCTGGTCAAAAGTAGTGCACTATATAGGGACTAGAGTGCCATTTGTCTAAAACACATGCATCATTAACTTGTATAGGGACTATAAATTTAAACGGAAACATAAATGTAAACCCTGTTGGAAGATGCAGGATGACTAGCATTAACATTACTTATTTACGAGTAACACACCTGCTAGTCCTTCCTTTAGGTTTTATTTATTTGCACCAAAGAAAAGACGTGAAAGACAAAACAGTACAGATTAAAAACTGGTCAAAACAGTGTGCAGGTGAGGTTGGAAGCCCAAAAGGGCTTATATGAAAACCACACCACAAATATAAGTACAAAAAAATTGTTTGTTCAATCAGTTAAACAAAGCATATTAAATAATTGTACATGATATACTCAGTATACAAGGAAAACCATGTTGGATTGTGTGCGTGTGTGTGAGAGAGAGTTAGGCTACATGGAGGGGATTATTGGGTAGTTTGGTTCATCAGGCTGACCCCCAGTCTTCGCTTGAAGTTTTTGAGGGATGATGAGTTTTTGGCAATGTGAAGATAAGAATTCCAGAGTATGGTAACTCTGTATCTGATAGAGAATAGACTGTGTGAGTTGCGGCAGTTGGGAGGGTGAAGGTTATTATTACAGTGTCTTGTGTTATATAAATTGATTTCAGAATTAACCTGGAAGAATCCATTGAAGGGTTTAGGTAAACTGTCTGGGAGGTATGAGTATTTGTGGATGAAAGTGCATAATTGGCGTACATTAATGTCGTAAATAGACAAGATATTGAGTTTCTGTCATGTTGTATACTGATAGAAGACAGGCGCAGGAATGCGTAGTAGGGTTTTTTATTACTCTACCCAACACAAGGTACATCATGGAAAACGACGGGGACGAAGCCCAAAACAAACACGCATATATATATATAACACAGGGATGTAACCCAAACAAAAGAGTGAGGTGTAAACCTCTAAATAATACACGGGACGAGACCCGTAATAACAAGTGCACAATTACTCGATATGTAAACTGTAATACAATGTACTCACGAGACCAACGGACATGGGACAATAATCGACAAGGACAATGGGGAACAGAGGGGACATATATACACATACTAATCAGGGGGAATGGGAACCAGGTAATAAGACAAGACAGTCCGGAGTTGGTGGTAATGAACCAGGTCAGTGACGCATAGAAAGCCGGTGACGCAGAACTCCGGAGCTGGTGAACGGAATGAGCAGCAGTACCGGGGGGATCACTGACAGTTTCTTAAACAAAGGTGCAGATGGAGCCAGGTAATTAGAGGAGGTGGCTAGTCTTGCAAATGTATTTTGTATGGAGAGTAATTTGTGTAGGTAGGAAGCATATGTACTGGCCGTGACAATATAGTAAATGAGATATGGGTAAATTAAGCTATCGTATAGAGTTAGGAAGCAAGCCTGATGAACCAAACCACTCATTTTTCTGATGATACCACCAGATGTCATCACTTTGCTACAAATGAAATATGATCTTTCCAAGATAATTTTTCATCAATTAGAACTCTGAGGAATCTAGTGAATGTATCTTGTTCCATTTCATTCCCACCAATTGAAATTCTGGCTCTTTAAAAAAAAAAAAAAAAAAATATATATATATATATATATATATATATATATATATATATATATATATATCTTATTCTTACTAGTGAATACAATAAAGTAGGATTTTTAAAAACATTTAAAGATAATTTCTTTATCAGGAACCATTCAGAAAATTTGGCCATACCTGAGTTGGCTTCAGTAATTAGTGAATCAAAATGATTGTGTTATAAAATCAAATTGGTATCATCAGCAAAGAGAATGGGAAGTACGTAGAAGACACAGCAGGAAGGTCATTGATATAGATTAGGAATAACAAAGGTCCAATTATCGAACCCTGTGGCACACCACAGGATATCTTGGCCCTGGTATATGCCCAGCCATTTGCATTAACAAATTGTTCTCTATCATAAACATAACTATATAACCAATTATATGTATAATCATGAAAACCATAATAATGCAATTTAGAAAGTAATATTTCATGATCAACCGTGTCAAACGCTTTTGATGAATCTAAAAAGATGCCAAGAGCATATTCATTGTAGTTAAGGGCTGTAAATATTTTTTCCACATGTTGCAAAAGAGCCATATCTGTGGAGTAGTTTTTACGAAAACCATTTTGGTGCTCGTCTAGAATACAGTGTTGAAACCATACTGGTGCTCATATAGAATACAGTGTTGAAACCATATTGGTGCTCATATAGAATACAGTGTTGAAACCATACTGGTGCTCATATAGAATACGGTGTTGAAACCATATTGGTGCTCATATAGAATACAGTGTTGAAACCATATTGGTGTTCATATAGAATACAGTGTTGAAACCATATTGGTGTTCATATAGAATACAGTGTTGAAACCATATTGGTGTTCATATAGAATACAGTGTTGAAACCATATTGGTGTTCATATAGAATACAGTGTTGAAACCATATTGGTGTTCATATAGATTACAGTGTTGAAACCATATTGGTGTTCATATAGAATACAGTGTTGAAACCATATTGGTGTTCATATAGAATACAGTGTTGAAACCATATTGGTGTTCATATAGAATACAGTGTTGAAACCATATTGGTGTTCATATAGAACACAGTGTTGATTTAAATGTTTCAACATTCTCTTATACACCAATTTTTCTAAGATTTCAGAAAAACATGGTAGTACAGATATTGGGCGATAATTTGTAAAAGATTTTGGATCCCCAGATTTATGGAGGGGGATAGCTTTGGCAATTTTCAAATATTTAGGAACAATACCAGTTTGCATAGATTTGGTGAAGATATACAATACGTTAGAGGCTCAGTAATCGAGGAAGACACTAATTTCACCAAAGAGGCACCAATCTTATCATGACCTAATGCTGATATCTTTAAGTTACCAATTACCCCCATCACCTCCATTACATCAGGAAGCAGAGAAGGGAAATGTCCCTTAATGTAATACAAGGGATTTCCAACAGTTTTCAAAATGTTCTTTGACAGAGAGGAACCCACATTCACAAAAAAGTTATTCACATGAAATAACATCAGGATCAGCATCGGTCTTATTTCCAACAATAAATTGAGATGGAATAGTTGTAGATGCCTTTTTCTTATTCAACAGTTGATTGATGATTTTCCAAGTTGACTTTATATTATTCAATGATTCTTGGAATTTTTTAGTAAAATCTATTTTTTGGCATATCCGAAGTAGGTGAGTACATTTGTTCTTATACTTTTTTGAATTTGCAGAATTCAGGGGAGAGGGATTTGTGAGAAACTTTTTATACAACTTGTTTTTTTTAACATGACATTGAGGACAATGTGACCTGTAAGGTAATCAGTTATATACATAGTTAATAGTCTAGGAGGGCATATTGACACTGGGAATTTATATTCATTTTAAGCAATCACCACATTTATGAATTAACTACTATTAGTTAATCTTTATCTGGATCCCCATTAGCTGATGCCATGATGACACCTAATCTTCCTTTCTAATAGTTAATAAGTATTAGTGAATCATTTTAAGTAACTACTATTGGTATAGTAACTACTATTATTATACCACCAAATGTAATGATTCAAAATAGAAACAACAGCATACAGTAGCAAAAGCATGGTTAGTAGACACTTTAACTTTTTGTAGTGTGAGATCATCCTCCTTGCTGCTCAATGTAACACTTGAAATAGGTCTGGTACGTTTTCAGTGTCTGCCCTCCAATGGCCAGCAAAATAACAACAGTGTACATGTATGTTTCTTCCCTTCTAGACAGGACATTGTGCCCTCTGTCTGCCTGGACATGCATGAGCTGGACCTGAAGATGAGGGAGTCAGAGGACTTTAATGCACACCATCTACTGCAGCAGCACTTGTACAGAGGCAGGAAGCAGGTATTGCTCAGTCAAAGACAATTAGATCTCCCAAAAATCTCAGGGGCGGTTTCCCGGAGAGCGATTAAGCCTAGTCCTGGACTAAAAAGCAAACTCAATGGAGAATCTCAGGATTAGGCTTAATCTGTGTCCGGGAAAACGCCCCTCAATGTTGAGCAATTATCTTAGCATCAAATCACTTATCATTAGTTTGCCACTGTCATTGGTTGGTTGTCTCAGCATATTAATTTGTGTGCTAACAAGCCAGTTCTTGTCAGGATGTGTAGTAATGGTGTGGTGTGGAATCAGGCGCAGAAGCAGATTGACAGTCCAATAAACTTTACTAGAAAGTGCGAAGCAATAATCCAAAACAGCCAGAGGCAAAACGCACACAGGCGTAAAAATACAAGCGCGCATAAACAGGGGCGCAAAACTCTTCTCAACCGAGAAGTAAGCAAAACAGTAGTGGCGTACCAAAACACAGGTACGCATAGACACCTAACACAAAACAATTACACACAACACTACACTAACAACAAGGAAACTAAATAGGGTGCTTAATTAGACATAACACAAGACAGGTGTGGCTAACAGACAAAACTAATCAAACAGAAAACATGGAGCGGTGGCAGCTAGTACTCCGGAGACGACGACCGGCGAAACCTGCCCGAACAAGGAGGAGGAGCTGCCTCGGCCGAAACCATGACAGTTCTAATCCTTTTACCTTTTCTTTTTGTATTTTGTTGATACTGTACTCAAAGGGAAAGTCCAATCTCTGGGAGTAAATGTATGGGGATTCTGACTACTCTAGATTCTCCTGCATCTTGTCAATCCACAATCAGCCATAAACAGATTAAAATGGTCAGTTACCCTGTTCTCTTCCTCTCGTTCCCTCACCTAACAGCACAGACACAGGTACAGTCGGAGCCACCTCGAAACCAACAAGGATGAGAATGAAGTGCAAGAGATCTTCGAGAGAACCATGAGGAGCCGTCTAGAGTCATTCAAGTCTGCCAAAATGGGTGTCGCCCCAGCCAAGAAGATCCAAACCAAGCATCAAAAGAAAGATAAACCACAAAAGGTCAGGGGTGACGATACTTTTTCCCCCTTCCTCCTTGACCTCATAGCCATCCTCTTAGAGGCAATGTGATAATATGTATGTTGTGTAATTTCATGTTATGTCATTTTTAGATGCCAAATGGAAACTCCACGGATAAAAGTAAAAACCATCCTTATGGGGATAAAGGTACTTGCTCTTTGCTTTTCACTTGTCTTTTGCATTAGATGATTAGATGATGAGGCTGATTACATTTGCTTTCTGCCATTTGGGTTTAGATACCTCTGCAATAACCTAACGTAGCAGGCGTAAAATAAATGTCTGAAACTAGATCCCCCACATTCTGGTCTTGACGAGAATAAAACATTTTCGGGGGAGGTTCTCTTCTGCGCTGTTCATCCAATCCAGTAAATGTGGAGGATGCGTTAAGATGGAGTGTTGCCTTGTTAACATCCAAAAACAGAAGTCACGTCTAGGGCTGTGGCAGTCATGAAACGGTTATTGTCATACAAATGACTGCCGCTGATGCCCACCTTTGGAACATCTACATTTAAATAAATAAATTTAATATACACCATCACAATGAATCCATTCTTTCTTTTAGGCAGGTCTAAAGAAACATTATTATATGATGAAAAAAAGTCAGAAGTTTACATACAATTAGGTTGGAGTCATTAAAACTCGTTTTTCAACCACTCCACAAATTTCTTGTTAACAAACTATAGTTTTGGCAAGATGGTTAGGACATCTACTTTGTGCATGACACAAGTAAGTTTTCCAACAATTGTTTACAGACAGATTATTTTACTTATAAGACACTGTATTACAATTCCAGTGGGTCAGAAGTTTACATACATTAAATTGACTGTGACTTTAAACAGCTTGGAAAATTCCTGAAAATGATGTCATGGCTTTAGAAGCTTCTGATAGGCTAATTTACATCATTTGAGTCAATTGGAGGTGAACCTGTGGATGTATTTCAAGGCCTACCGTCAAACTCAGTGCCTCTTTGCTTGACATCATGGGAAAATCAAAAGAAATCAGCCAAGACCACAAGTCTGGTTCATGCTTGGGAGCAATTTCCAAACGCCTGAAGGTACCATGTTCATCTGTACAAACAATTGTACGCAAGTATAAACACCATAGGACCACGCAGACGTCTACCGCTCAGGAAGGAGACACGTTCTGTCTCCTAGAGATGAAGGTACTTTGGTGCAGAAAGTGCAAACCAATCCCAGAACCACAGCAAAGGACCTTGTGAAGATGCTGGAGGAAACAGGTACAAAAGTATCTATATCCACTGTAAAACAAGTCCTCTATCGACATAACCTGAAAGGCCGCTCAGCAAGGAAGAAGCCACTGCTCCAAAACCGCCATAAAGAAGCAAGACTACGGTTTGCAACTGCACATGGGGACAAAGATCATACGTTTTGGAGAAATGTCCTCTGGTCTGATAAAAGAAAAATAGAACTGTTTGGCCATAATGACCATTGTTATGTTTGGAGGAAAAAGGGGGTTGCTTGCAAGCCGAAGAACACCATCCCAACCGTGAAGCACTTCACAAAATAGATGGCATCATGAGGAAGAAAATGTATGTGGATATATTGAAGCAACATCTCAAGACATCAGTCAGGAAGTTAAAGCTTGGTCGTAAATGGGTCTTCCAAATGGACAAAGTTGTGGCAAAATGGCTTAAGGACAACAAAGTCAAGGTATTGGAGTGGCCATCACAAAGCCCTGACCTCAGTCCTATAGAAAATAATATCCTCTTATGCACTCTGGTTATTGACAACCCCACAGAGGCTACCTCTGCATAAATTAACAACATAATTTAATTGTTTTCTGATTGGCTGTTTCGCTATGCCTCCAGATTTTGAGTTTTCTGAAGGAGACAGTGCCTCTGGTGGCGAGGCTGCTGGCGGTTCATTCCCCATGAGGGCCTATAGAGCAGAAGGTAAGAGAGTCTCCTTCACATCAACTCAAGACTAATGAAAATAACAAATTTAAATATGCCAAAGTCAGACACTAAAACCATTTAGTTACTAACTCTAAGTTCACCTCTTAGAGACCTTTCAATCAGTTAAATCAATTCCATTAATTCTATCCCTCCTGGTGTAGCTGGAATAGTGAACCCAGCCTTCATGGCGGAGATGGACCCCATGGACAACATGCAACAGATGCAGCAGATCCCACATGCAGCACTTCTTCCACAAACTTTGACCTCCTTTGACCCCTAACCCTGGGTCCAGGTCGTGACCCCAGTTGCCAAATAATCAAACGTCAGACATTGCACCTGCTCTTTGACAAAACATTTACTAGGGCATGTTTTCTTTTCTGTTCAGTTGTTTATTCATAGTTCTGTATCCCCAGACAAAACATTCCAGATCCTGTAACCCTTGTGCTCTCCAAATAAGGTTTTCGGTCTTTCACAATTGACTGAGCTCTTCCCTCTTCTTATTGTATGTTTAGTTGTAGGTTAGGTTTTTTAAAGGAAAGGGGACTGTACTGTATATAACTCTGTCGTAACACAGGAAGATCATCATGAGACCAACACCAAATAAGAATGTTGGACATTTGACCTTGCCATCCAATTCCATGATAAATTCTGACCCAGTTTACCTGATAAAACCAATCCCTAAAACAATTCAGGCTTTGACTGGCTTGCTCACATCCCAGGTAGGCTGACAGTAAAAAATAGTTAGGTCACACTTTATTTGGATAGTCGCATATAGATGATCTACAGATGGTCATATTATTTACATTTTACATTTAATCCAGAGCGAGTTACAGTTAGTGCATTCATCTTCAGATAGCTAGGTGGGACAAGCACATATCACAGGCAAAGCAAGTAATTTTTTTCTCAATAAAGTAGGGTGGGTGTCAGAAGGGGGGAAGGAGAAAAGTAGCTAAGTGTCATCCGCATAGCAATGATAGGAGACATCATGTGAGGATATGAAGGAGCCGAGTGACTTCGTGTATAGTGAGGCCTAGAACCGAGACCTGTAGTGAGAGTACGTGGCGCAGACACAAATCCTTTCCACGTCCCCTGGTAGGAGCGGCCTGCCAAGTAGGATGCAAACCAAGAGTGTGCAGAGCCTGAGATGCCCAGCCCTGAGAGGGTGGAGAAGAGGATCTGATGAATCACGGTGTCAAAGACAGCGGATAGATCTAGAAGATCAGAGGAGAGAGAGGCAGCTTTGGCAGTCTGGTTAGGGTCAAGAAAATAATTCTGAGAGAGATAGTGAAAGAGTTGGTCAGAGACAGCACGCTCAGGTGTTTTGGAAAGAAAAGAAAGAAGGGTCTGTAGTTTTTGACGTCAGAGGAGTCGAGCGTTGGTTTCTTGAGGAGGGGAGCGACTTGGGCCATTTTGAAGTCAAAGGGGTTGCCAGTGGTCAGGGATGAGTTGATGAGGGAAGTGAGGAATGGGATGTGGTCTCTAGAGATGGTCTGTAGAAGGGAGGAGGGGATGGGGTCGAGCGGGCAGGTTGTCTGCGGCCGGACCTCACTAGTCGCATGATTTCATCTGGAGAGAGAGGGGAGAAAGAGGTCAAGGCGTAGGGTAGTTCTGTGTGAGTGGGACCAGTGGACTCAATAGGAGTGACTGAGGAGCGGATGTCTTCAACCTTCTTTTCGTCCGCAGAGAGGGAGGAGGGAGGGGGTGAAGGATTGAGGTGGAAAATAGTTTCTTAGGGTTAAATGCAGAAGCTTTACATTTAGAGTGATAGAAAGTGGCTTTAGCAGCTGATACAGAGGAAGAGAAGGTAGAAAGGAGGGAGTGAAAGGATGATAGGTCCTCTGGAAGTTTAGTTTTACTCCATATTCGCTCAGCTGCCCACAGCCCTGTTCTGTAAGCTCGCAATGAGTCGGAGCAGGAGGGGAGGGCAGAGCTGGCTGGGAGGAAAGGGGGCAGTGCGAGTCATAAGATGTGGAAAGGGAGGAGGGTAGGGTCGAAGAGACAGAATCAGCAGACCGGAGAGAGAAGGATTTAGCAGAAGGGAGAGATGGTAGAATAGAAGAGGAGAAAGTAGTGGGAGAGAGAGAGCGAATACCATGACCATATGGGTAGGGGCTGAATGGCTAGGTTTGGAGAAGAGGGAGACAGAAAAGGAAACAAAGTAGTGATCAGAGACTTGGAGGGGGGTTGCACTGAGATTATTTGGCGAACAGCTTCTAGTAAAGATGAGGTCAAGCATATTGCCTGCCTTGTGAGTGGGAGGGGACTGGGAAAGGGTGAGGTCAAAAGAGGCAAGGAGGGGAAAGAAAGAGTTGGAAATAAGGAGGAGACTGAACAAACTATACTGTATGTTGATAAGCAACTGGTTGCTAAGGTTACAGTTAGGGTTAGGTTTAGAATAATCGTTAGGGTAAGGGTTAAGGTAAATATTTGGGTTAGGGTTAAGTTTAGGGTTAGGATAAGGGTTAAGGTTAGGGCTAGGGTTAGTGGATAGTTAGTTGAAATGTTGTTGATAGTTATTGAACATCTACTTGGGACTATTCAAATAAAGTGTTACCGAAAGTGTAATGACACACCATATTTAAGTCCATAGACTGAGAACAAACAAGTAAGTTTATGCATGGGATTCAGACTGTCATTTTTGTGACCACCTCACGTCCTCACACCTTAATGTGATCAAATAATGTAGATATTGTAGATTTAGTTGATTATAAAGAATATAAAGCATTTGATATGACAGTAATTTATTGAGAGGATGATAGAATCTAATGCAATTTTATCGATTTAAATGCTGTCTTAATCACTGTGTGGTTTTTTTTCCATTTGTTTGAGAGATTTGTAACAATTTTTGGGGTCAAGATGTGGTTGGTGTTGAGAGATTGAATATCACAGATGTAAATGTCACTTGTATAGTAAAGAATTACCCTATTTATTCACCAATAAAGTTTATTGGCCACCTGAATCTTGTATCAGTCTGTTCAGCTTTGCATTAGACTAATCTAAGCAGACTATTGTTTCATGGGAGACATATAATTCAATCATTCACTTACAATGGTGTCACTCATCATAGCCAGGAGTTGTACCACAATGATTAGCTTTGTACTCTGTTACGGTAAATGAGAAAAAACTATAAATATATAGATTCCCAGTCACACTGGTAAATCAGGGAATATATATATTATATAATTCATGGATTATGTTTTAAATGCTCGTAGAAGTGTGGTAAACGTGTATATTTCCCTGTTTCAAAAATATATTGTTCAAAACAATCTGTTAAGTTATACTGAACAAAAATATAAACGCAACATGCAACAATTTCAACTATTTTACTGAGTTACAGTTCATACAGTGGGGAAAAAAAGTATTTAGTCAGCCACCAATTGTACAAGTTCTCCCACTTAAAAAGATGAGAGAGGCCTGTAATTTTCATCATAGGTACACGTCAACTATGAAAGACAAAATGAGGAAAAAAAATCCAGAAAATCACATTGTAGGATTTTTTATGAATTTATTTGCAAATTATGGTGGAAAATAAGTATTTGGTCAATAACAAAAGTTTCTCAATACTTTGTTATATACCCTTTGTTGGCAATGACACAGGTCAAACGTTTTCTGTAAGTCTTCACAAGGTTTTCACACACTGTTGCTGGTATTTTGGCCCATTCCTCCATGCAGATCTCCTCTAGAGCAGTGATGTTTTGGGGCTGTCGCTGGGCAACACGGACTTTCAACTCCCTCCAAAGATTTTCTATGGGGTTGAGATCTGGAGACTGGCTAGGCCACTCCAGAACCTTGAAATGCTTCTTACGAAGCCACTCCTTCATTGCCCGGGCGGTGTGTTTGGGATCATTGTCATGCTGAACGACCCAGCCACGTTTCATCTTCAATGCCCTTGCTGATGGAAGGAAGTTTTCACTCAAAATCTCACGATACCTGGCCCCATTCATTATTTCCTTTACACGGATCAGTCGTCCTGGTCCCTTTGCAGAAAAACAGCCCCAAAGCATGATGTTTCCACCCCCATGCTTCACAGTAGGTATGGTGTTCTTTGAATGCAACTCCGCATTCTTTGTCCTCCAAACACAACGAGTTGAGTTTTTACCAAAAAGTTATATTTTGGTTTCATCTGACCATATGACATTCTCCCATTCCTCTTCTGGATTATCCAAATGCACTCTAGCAAACTTCAGACGGGCCTGGACATGTACTGGCTTAAGCAGGCGGACACGTCTGGCACTGCAGGATTTGAGTCCCTGGCGGCGTAGTGTGTTACTGATGGTAGGCTTTGTTACTTTGGTCCCAGCTCTCTGCAGGTCATTCACTAGGTCCCCCCGTATGGTTCTGGGATTTTTGCTCACCGTTCTTGTGATCATTTTGACCCCACGGGGTGAGATCTTGCGTGGAGCCCCAGATCGAGGGAGATTATCAGTGGTCTTTTATGTCTTCCATTTCCTAATAATTGCTCCCACAGTTGATTTATTCAAACCAAGCTGCTTACCTATTGCAGATTCAGTCTTCCCATTCTGGTGCAGGTCTACAATTTTGTTTCTGGTGTCCTTTGACAGCTCTTTGGTCTTGGCCATAGTGGAGTTTGGAGTGTGACTGTTTGAGGTTGTGGACAGGTGTCTTTTATACTGATAACAAGTTCAAACAGGTGCCATTAATACAGGTAACGAGTGGAGGACAGAGGAGCCTCTTAAAGAAGAAGTTACAGGTCTGTGAGAGCTAGAAATCTTGCTTGTTTGTAGGTGACCAAATACTTATTTTCCACCATAATTTGCAAATAAATTCATAAAAAGTCCTACAATGTTATTTTCTGGATTCTTTCCCTCAATTTGTCTGTTATAGTTGACGTGTACCTATGATGTAAATTACAGGCCTCTCTCATCTTTTTAAGTGGGAGAACTTGCACAATTGGTGGCTGACTAAATACATTTTTTCCCCACTGTAATTTGAGCCGGATCCTGCAGGAACTGGATCCGGCACCTCTCAGATTTGACTTTGTTTGTTCCGGCACCTACAGTTGAAGTCGGAAGTTTACATACTGTTATGATTTAACTGGATAGAACCCAAATGCAGACAAGTACACCAAGCCAGAGAAGTTTTAACAGGTTTATTATAATGTTCAATAGTCCAGGTTTCCAATAAATGGGGAAGAGCAAGTCCAGGTTACAGGGAGGGTAATAGATCCAGGTCAGGGCAGGTGTGGTACCGTAATGTCCTAGTGTCCGTGGTGAGTCCAAAGGAGAGGTCCGATAGTGGAGAGCAGGATGGTGGTGGCAGGAGTGAAGCGGAGGCAGGAGTCAGGTTCCAAATATCTGTGGCACAGGAGAAAAAGTAAATAGACAGGCCAAAAACACAAGAGCGAAAACAGACAGGTTGAGTCGGCAGCGAGACTAACATGGTTGTCTTGACTATGATCTGACGATGAGTGGCAAGTTTGACCGGGTCTTAAAGGGCTGAGGTGATTATGGTGAATGAGCTGCAGCTGGAACCCTGACTCCCGCACACCAGACTTCACTCCTGCAATCAATGACAAACAGAGGGGAGGGGAAGAGCAGAGAGAGAGCTACCTAGCAGCAGTAGGCCTAACACATACACCTTAGCCAAATACATTTAAACTCAGTTTTTCACAATTCCTGACATTTAATCCTAGTAAAAATTCCCTGTCTTAGGTCAGTTAGGGTCACCACTTTATTTTAAGAATGTAAAATGTCAGAATGATAGTAGAGAGAATTATTTCTTTCAGCTTTTATTTCTTTCATCACATTCCCAGTGGGTCAGAAGTTTACATACACACAATTAGTATTTGGTAGCATTGCCTTTTAAATTGTTTAACTTGGGTCAAACGTTTCGGGTAGCCTTCCACATGCTTGTAGAGGTCAAAAGAGGCAATAAGTTGCGTGAATTTTGGCCCATTCCTCCTGACAGAGCTGGTGTAACTGAGTCAGGTTTGTAGGCCTCCTTGCTTGCACACGCTTTTTCAGTTCTGCCCACAAATGTTCTATAGGACTGAGGTCAGGGCTTTATGATGGCCACTCCAATACCTTGACATTGTTGTCCTTAAGCCATTTTGCCACAACTTTGGAAGTATGCTTGGGGTCATTGTCCATTTGGAAGACCCATTTGCGACCAAGCTTTAACTTCCTGACTGATGTCTTGAGATGTTGCTTTAATATATCCACATAATTTTCCTTCCTCATGATGACATCTATTTTGTGAAGTGCACCAGTCCCTCCTGCAGCAAAGCACCCCCACAGCATGATACTGCCAACCCCGTGCTTCATGGTTGGGATGGTGTTCTTCGGCTTGCAAGCGCCCCCTTTTTCCTCCAAACATAACGATGGTCATTATGGCCAAACAGTTATATTTTTGTTTCATCAGACCAGAGGACATTTCTCCAAAACGTATGATCTTTGTCCCCATGTGCAGTTGCAAACAGTAGTCTGGTTTTTTTATGGCGGTTTTAGAGCAGTGGCTTCTTCCTTGCTGAGCGGCCTGTCAGGTTATGTCGATATAGGACTCGTTTTACAGTGGATATAGATACTTTTGTACCTGTTTCCTCCAGCATCTTCACAAGGTCCTTTGCTGTTGTTCTGGGATTGATTTGCACTTTTCGCACCAATGTACGTTCATCTCTAGGAGACAGAACGTATCTCCTTCCTGAGCGGTATGACGGCTGCGTGGTCCCATGGTGTTTATACTTGCGTACTATTGTTTGCAAAGATGAACGTGGTACCTTCAGGCGTTTGGAAATTGCTCCCAAGGATGAACCATACTTGTGGAGGTCTACAATTTTTTTTTGGAGGTCTTGGCTGATTTCTTTTGATTTTCCCATGATGTCAAGCAAAGAGGCACTGAGTTTGAAGGTAGGCCTTGAAATACATCCACAGGTACACCTCCAATTGACTCAAATTATGTCAATTAGCCTATCAGAAGCTTCTAAAGCCATGACATCATTTTCCAGAATTTTCCAAGCTGTTTAAAGGCACAGTCAACTTAGTCTGACCCACTGGAATTGTGATACAGTGAATTATAAGTGAAATAATCTGTCTGTAAACAATTGTTGGAAAAATTACTTGTGTCATGCACAAAGTAGATGTCCTAACCGACTTGCCAAAACTATAGTTTGTTAACAAGAAATGTGTGGAGTGGTTGAAAAACAAGTTTTAATGACTCCAACCTAAGTGTATGTAAACTTCCGACTTCAACTGTATATACAGTATGTTATATACAGTAGAGATCATGTTTTAAGATTGTGAGGCTTATAGACAGAAATTCACACACAGTCTAATTTTAGTCAGTGGTAATATTTTACATTTGAGTCATTTAGCAGACACTCTTATCCAGAGCAACTTACAGGAGCAATTAGTGTTAAGTGCCTTGCTCAAGGCCACATCAACAGATTATTCACCCTATCAGCTTCGAACCAGTGACCTTTCGGTTACTGGCCCAACAACTAAAAACATTGTAGGCCCCGTGTAGCTCAGTGTAGCTCAGTTGGTAAAGCATGGCATTTGCAACGCCAGGGTTGTGGGTTCGTTTCCCACGGGGGGCCAGTATGGAAAAAAAAAATGCACTAACTGAAAGTCGCTCTGGATAAGAGCGTCTGCTAAATGACTAAAAATGTAAAAATGTAACTAGGCTACCTGCCAGCCAACTTTTTCAAATGTGAATGGTCATTCAATAAACTTTATTACTCTGTAATTGACTGTTTTTACAGTCTAATATCTTTGTTGTTGCCTGCTGGTTTTCTGTTGTACCTGATAATGAATTGCACACACCTGGTGTCCCAGGTCTAATTCACTCCCTGATTAGAGGGGAACAATGAAAAAATGCAGTGGAACTGACTTCGAGGTCCAGAGTTGAGTTTGAAGGTTGTAGGCTATGCAATAAGATTTTGAGGTGTTGGACAAGAGTAAATGTACATTTTATTAGTGCTGTTTAATGGCGGTACAAAATGCTAAATGCTCATTCTGAAAAATAGTTTTGCATCCTGTGCCATCCACAGACAGTCATGCAAAGTAAAAAATAAATAAATGCAATTCCTATCATATCTAAAGCATTCCTTTAAATCGACAATCGGCAGTTGAAACAATAACAAAGCAATCCCTGCCCCGGTTTCAGTAAAAAGATGAGTGATGGGGCTGGAGAAATGTAACCACTCACAAATTCATAGACAGAGCTATGGATGCAAGGACTGAACATCCATGATATCAAAATTATTGTTTTAACCATGTTTTGAAGCTATACAGCAGGGATCATCAACTAGATTGGCTGATTTTTTTCTTGAGCAGATAGTCTTTAAAATGAGTGCTTTTTCTACATTGTAAATCTGTAAATCTCCTTGACATAAATGGTTTTCACTAGTTATCACAGCCACAAAGTCAAAATTGGCTATGTCATAACAACTTTTTATTTTTGCTTTTTGGTCTTAATTTAAAGTTAGAATTAGGTATAAGGTTAGGTTTAAAATCTGATTTTAAGAAGATACATTGTAGAAATAGGCGGGGTTTATGACTTTGTGGCTCTCCACCCTAACAATGGGAGTCATTGTCCACAAAGTGACACGGCAGGCTGTCTAGCTCCCGCCTATGCTTTCTTTGGATTGGTGGATACATGCCATTATTGTCATCCTATTTGAATATTCGATGTGGGTTGTTGACGTAAACTGCCTGTATTCAATGGAGAGAGATGCTATGCACCTTAGCCTCATTCTATGCATATACATAGCCATCTCCAGACAACTCCGATATAATGTGTTTTTTCTCAAAGTTGTCAGGATGTCACGTGACCTACGTATGTCAGTACACTTGTAACAATTTAAGCATTAGGAAACTTCTATTTGATCAAATAATCCTCACCTTGCAAATAAGACCTACTTTTTTTTTGTTTACGAAGTTCGACACTCATTCATTTAAGGTTAGGATTAGGCATAAGGTTAAGTTTAAAATCAGATTTTAAGAAGATAAATTGTAGAAATAGACGGGGTTTATGACTTTGTGGCTATGGTAACTAGTGGCGACCGATAAAATTGAGCTTGGGACATCGTGGGACAGTGGTTTCCACTAGATAGCATAGCCACAAAGTATATATGGTAAAAATCCATAAAAATAAAAATGTGCTTTTTGGTCTTAATTTTAAGGTTAGGGTTAGGCATAGGGTTGGATTTAAAATCACATTTTAAGAGAAATTGCAGAAATGTGTGGAGTGTATGACTTTGTGGCTCTGATAACTAGTGACGACCACTGGGACAGTGCAGGAAACATAGAATTAGGAATTAGAACACAATCAAAGATTTTGGATATATTGACAAGATACATGTCTCTCCCAATGTGGTCGTTGTACACAAAGCGGCACGGCGGGCTGTCTAGCTCCTCTATCCTTTCTTTGGATTGGGGGATACATCTCATTATTGTTATACATATTTTTGAATATTCGATGAGGGTTGTTCACGTCAACCACCTGTATTCAATGGAGAGACGATATGCTACTAGCCTCGTATTATGAATTTGCATAGCGATCTCGAGACAACTTCAATATAGTATTTTTTCTCAAAGTTGCCGGGATGTCACGTGTCCTACTTATATCAGTACACTTGTACCAATTTAAGCATCGGGAAACTTTCGATCAAATAAACCTCACACAGCAAAAGCCATACACCAAATACGACGCTCTCATTGACCTCCATACAAAAACGAATTGCTTGGTGGGCGAAACAATGAAAAAAAACGCCACCTGCTGGATGGAGACCGAGTTTCCGCTGAGTTCGGCCTCCCTCTTCCTCTCTGACACAATGTAATAGAATCTCTATGGCAGGAACTGACCAATGGCAGGTATCAATGGACTGACCAATGGCAGGCACTAATGGGCGTTTCTTGATATAAAGGAACGCCCATATGAAGAAACTCCCCAAATTGAGGTCTGCGCTTACGCCATATTTCAAAAATACCTAAACAAATCGACGACGTAAGAGAAAGACGGTTAATGAAACGTCATAACAATATCATTTAAAGAGTCATGTCCTGATTGAGGCAGGGCTTTTCATTCGACTGTATGGCTGAACTAGCTAGCTAACGTTAACTTTCTGGAGTATTCTTTGACTTGTATCGAGGAAGGGTTTGCCTGATTGTTGGTTATCTAGCTAGCTAACCAAGTTAGCCAACTCGCTGCTTTGCTTCGCATTTCCTTTTTGGAGTTACTCGACAGAGATTGTTGTTAAAACATGATGCATTGCGTCAAATGGGCATATTATTTGAAGCTGACAAGTGAACTCTGTCTTGTTAGCAAACCTCATTTGGATGTTCATACTCCTAGCTAAGTTGGCTAGCTAGCTAGAGTCTGTTCACTAACGTTAGCGCTTGCAAGCAAGAGACAGCTATCATGAGTTGGTTCAGCTCTACCCAGCTGTCAAGCTTTGCCAAACAAGCTTTGACAACAGCTCAGAAATCCATCGACCGAGTTCTTGACATTAAAGAAGACGAATGGGGTGACACAGTGGTAATGCCTTATGACGGTAGGTGAAGTAACACGGTAGGTGAAGGAACGTTAGCTATTGTTATATCATATCTGTGTACTGCTGTCAGTGGTTGTTTTGTGATTAATATTACACAACCATTTGCGTTTGAGCATTATTTCTGAATTTATGTGATTACCAATGGAATCGAAACTCTAGCTGTCCATGAAGAGGTGTCTAATTTACCCAATAAAGCAAATATTTGAAATGCTTTGGAGTCTGACTGTTACATGCCCTTATTTTCTGGCCATTAACCAACAAGCTACAACCTGTTTTCCTGTTAGATCTACCAGGGAAGACGCCATTGAGCGGTGGATGGGGGTTGACAAAATTGGAATCTCAGGAGGAGTGCGCAACAACTCTCCCCCTGTCATCTGAGGCCATCACGACCCCTGTCACCCGCACGGTTGTGGATGAAACAGAAAACTTCTTCAGTGCTTTTCTGCCCCCAGGAAAACTCCAGGGTGTCATGAATAACCAGATTGTGTCTGTGCCACCCACCATGTCCCACAGGCGGCCACAGGAGAAGGATGAGGAGGACAAGGAGACTGTGATTAAGGACGACGTGGACCCTCAAAAGCCAGGGCTGAATGAAACCGACAGACTGGAAGACCAGGAGTCCAAAAGTCTATGGTCTTCCTCAGAAATCGTCCTCATTCAGACACCAGACCCTCCAGTACTGGCTCAGGGTGATGCTCATGATGACACTGACAGTCCACTAATCAGTGAGAGCTGGGTAGAATCAACTGTAGAGGATACAACTGCTGTTCCTGAGGATGCACAAACAGAACACTCCCTCAGACACCCAACATGATGATGTTGTTGACATTTCTGAACCCCCCATCAACACTGAACTGGAGCCCCCCTTCGACCCATCTCCTACCACAGCCCCTAAGGAAATCCTATTGGAGCCCAAAGACCCCAAAGCGGAGGACAGGCAGAGCGATGCACCCTCCCCTAAATCAGAGGACAGACAGAGCAACACCCCCTCCCCTCCTGTCAGCACATTCTCCTCAGGCACCTCCACCACTAGTGACATAGAGGTTTTGGACCATGAAAGTATGCAGAGTGAGAGCTCGGCCAGTTCCAGGCAAGAGACTGCAGAGGCCAAGGCAGGCCTCCACCTGATGCAGGGCTCCTTCCAGCTGCTCTCAGCCTCTGCCTGTGGGGACTTCTCCCGTCTGGAGGACTACCCCAAGCTGACCGAGAGCTGCGGATCCTCCTCAGATGCCTTTGAGCGCATCGACTCGTTCAGCATGCACTCTCTGGACAGCCGCAGTGTCAGCGAAGTCAACTCAGACGATGAGATCCCAGGGAGCCGGACGCTGGCATCTGTCACCGCAGGGCACATGCCCTCACCTCCTGTCATAGTTGCAACCACCGCACAGGAACGGGAGGAGAAGGAGGGGCTAACAGAAACAATGAAGGATCAGTCTGTGGATAAGAATGAGATGGAGGAGAGTGGTCGCAGTGCCACGCCTGTTAACAGCGAGAAGCCTGAGGAACAGCTGCCCCCACCAATAACAGAGTAGAAAAGAGGAGTGTCAACTTGTCAGATTCTAGAGCTTCAAAAGGTAACACACTGGTCCACAACATGACCTTTGCAACTTGTAACACCACTTTTTAAGAACAGTGTGTGTTGTGTGAGTGTGCATGGGTTTGTGACTTTAAATACCAACTCATGGAGAGCAGAATCATGGCACTGTTGGGCAATCCTGTTCATTTGCCAAAGTACAGTGCATTCGGAAAGTATTCAGACCTTTTTTCACATTTCTTGTTACGTTACAGCCTTACTCTAAAATGTATTAAATAAAAACATTTCCTCATCAATCTAAACACACTACCCCATAATGACAAAGTGAAAACCAGGTTTTTAGACATTTTTGCAAATGTATTAAAAACAGAAATACCTTATTTACGTAAGTATTGACCCTCGAAATTGAGCTCAGGTGCATCCTGTTTCCATTGATCATCCTTGAGATGTTTCTACAACTTGATTGGAGTCCACCTGTGGTAAATTCAATTGATTGGATATGATTTGGAAAGGCACACACCTGTCTATATAAGGTCCCACATTTGACAGTGCATGTCTGATGAAGAACCCGATGGTCACTCTAACAGAGCTCCAGAGTTCCTCTGTGGAGATGGGAGAACCTTCCAGAAGGACAACCATCTCTGCAGCACTCCACCAATCAGGCCTTTATGTAGAGTGGCCAGACGGAAGCCACTCCTCAGTAAAAGTTACATGACAGCCCGCTTGGAGTTTTCCAAAAGGCACCTATAGGACTCTCAGACCATGAGGAAACAAGATTATGTAGTCTGATGAAACCAAGATTGAACTCTTTAGCCTGAATGCCAAGCAGCACGTCTGGAGGTAACCTGGTACCATCCCTACGGTGAAGCATGGTGGTAGCATCATGCCAAGAAGACTTGAGGTGTTAATCGCTGCCAAATGTGCTTCAACAAAGTACTGAGTAAAGGGTCTGAATACTTATTTAAATGTGATTTCTGTTTTTTTATTTTTAATATATACATTTCAAAACAGTTTTTTGCTTTGTCATTATGGGGTGATGTGTGTAGATTGAGAAATCCATTTTAGAATAAGGCTTTAATATAACAAAGTGGAAAAAGTCAAGGGGTCTGAATACTTTCCGAACGCACTGTAAATGGTCCCCGTGGGGACGCTGCACTTAAAAAAGCACAAGAAAGAGGATTTCGACACCCATCTCAGATTGTTCTGAAATTGTTTCTGTTCGAAACGGATAAGATTGGCATTCCTGCAACATTATTTTATTGAAATATAATTTGATCTCTGAGAAATTAATCTAATTCAATAAATATAGTTTCTAACATCCGATTTGGACCAAAGTTTTTTTGGAATCCGAAGAAATGTTCAAAAGCCACCCACGGACCCCCGGACCCCCCACACCCAATGCTAATCCCACCCTAACAATGAGTATATAGCATCAGTTCTCTATATTTGACATGTAGCAGTGGCTCGGAGTATTGTTTCTTCATCCTATGTAATGTATTCTCAGGGAATTTGGTGATGTTTTTTTCCCCCGTTGTTCAGATAAATTAGTCATTGAAGTTGTTAGGTTTATGTCCCATCCTGATAGTACCAGGTTCTGACCACTAGATGGTGCTGTTCCAGGTGATGTTAAAGGGATAGGCCTAGTTCACCCACATTTTTAAATGACATTGGTTTCCTTACCCTGTAAGCAGTTTATGGACACAAGGTATGACAGCAATCCATGCTTTGGTTTTGTTGTCTACTGTTTCAAATACTAACTCTTTAGCATTTGTAGCACAAATCCAATGCAAGTCAATGGTACCTATATTAGCATTTACATATCTAAAAATTGATTGTGTAACTCAATGATGTTGCTTATAGATGAAATGCTAATATAGGTACAGTTGACTTGCATTGGATATGTGCCACAAATGCTAAAAAGTTAGCATTTGAAACAGTGGCCTGCTAAACAAAACCAAACCATGGGTTGCTGTCATACATTTACATTTAAGTCATTTAGCAGACGGTCTTATCCAGAGCGACTTACTAATTGGACCTTGTCCATAAACTGCTTACAGGGTAAGGAAGCCAATGTCATTTTGAAATGTGGGTGAACTAACCCTTTAAAGAGCCACTGAACATGCTGATTGGCATGTGTTTTTCTGTTGCTCATTAGAAAAATGAGATTTCAGTCTTGGAGGTGTGTTTACCCACCGATTCCGCATTTAGTTAATGTTTGTCCCCCATGAGACACTGTAGATGCCGAAGCCAATTTCACTTCCTCAAAATCCCCACAATGAATCTAAGATAACACAAGAAATCTGTAATAAATGTTGACATTTTTGCCACGGCTGTTTTAGTTGCACTTTTACATCTAACTAAGGTGTTTGGTGCATTATTTCTCAAGTAAAAAAAAAAGTGTGACGTGTTGTCTTATGTAAACAAAGTTGGAGCTGCTTGGCAGGTCTTTCTCACTGTCTACTATTGGATAGAGAGCAATCACCAGAGCTGTTCACCCCATGTTAGTTGGCAAATGGATATCGTCAAATCAAAACCGAACCTTAATTTACATGTTGAGACGCACGGATATTCCAAACTCCATTTTAGACGAGACTGACTTTATTTTGACACAAATTATCCTATTTACACTTTGTAGTCAATTTTGACACTAGAATAACAGTTTCTGACTCGATTTGATGCCACATAGGCCTTTTTCAAAGGGATTTGTTGCTTTTTAAAGGCAGTCGCTCTTTAACATTGAGGGTGGATTATTTTATTATTATTTTGACCTAACAGCAAGAACAGCACCATCTAGTGGTCAGAACCTGATAATATCAGGATGTGAGATGGGCCATAAACCTAACAACTTCAAAGACAAATGTATCTGAACAGGGAAAGAAAACATCACCATATTCACTGAGGATACATTACATAGGATGAAGAAATAATTCTCAGCTGCAGCTCCATATTACTTGTCAGACATAGAAAACTGATACTGTATACTCGTCGTTGAGGTGGGATTGATGTGAGGGGTCCATGGGTGGCTTTTGACCATTTCTTTGGATTCCCCATGTCTTAGTCATTGTTAGGAAAAGGTTTGGTCCAAATTAAATGTTAGGTACTATATTTATTGAATATTATATTAATCCTTATCCTATAAATTAAAATGGCCAATTTGGGTGCAAACAATTAGCTTAATTTCTCAGAGATAAATTATATTTCAACAAAATAATGTTGCAGTAATGCTAATCTGATCTGTTTCTAACTACAGACATGATTTCAGAACAATCTGAGATGGTGGGTGTCATGGCTTGCTGAAATGACATGGAATGACCCTGTGGAGAAGAAACATTCCCCAAACCATCATGGATTAAACAGTGTGCTCCTCTATTTGAACAACATTCTTGGTGGAAACTGTGAAAATTAAGTTGTCCTTTGATAACAAGTCTAGAAACAAGGTACCCTATCAGTGTTTTTATGCATTCACTGAGTGCATTTCCTGTGAAATTCCTATGTGGACTTTTTTGTAGGTAATTGATGAGCTGTCAAGCTGCCTTTAGAAGAGGGAGTTACAGCTGCTGTCAATCAGCAAAGACAAGGCCAGGCTGGAGGAAGAGTGTGACAACCTTAAAGAGTGAGTATAAAGATCTTGCCATTGGGTAAAACCCATGTCTGAAAATGCATTGTAAGAGCAGAAAGGAGCATTCTCTAAACACACCTATGGAAATATACTGAACAACAATATAAACGCAACATGTAAAGTGTTGGTCCCATGTTTCATGAGCTGAAATAAAAGATCCCAGAAACTTTCCACAAATTTGTTTACATCCCAGTTAGTGAGCATTTCTCCTTTGTCAATATAATCCATCCACCTGACAGGTGTGGCATATCAAAAAGCTGATTAAACAGCATGATCATAACACAGGTGCACCCTGTGTTGGGGACAATAAAAGGCCACTCTAAAATGTGCAGTTTTGTCACACAACACAATGCCACATATGTCTCAAGTTTTGAGGGAGCGTGCTGACTGCAGGAATGTCCACCAGAGCTGTTGCCAGATAATGGAATGTTCATTTCTCTACCATAAGCCGCCTCCAACATTGTTTTGGAGAATTTGGCAGTACGTCCAACCGGCCTCACAACCGCAGACCACGTGTTACCATGCCAGCCCAGGACCTCCACATCTGGCTTCTTCACCTGCGGGATCATCTGAGACTAGCCACCCGGACAGCTGATGAAACTGTGGGTTTGCACAAACAAAGAATTTCTGCACAAACTGTCAGAAAGCATCTCAGGGAAGCTCATCTGCGTGCTTGTCGTCTTGACCTGACTGCAGTTCGGCGTCGTAACCGACTTCAGTGGGAAAACGCTCACCTTCGATGGCCACTGACATGTTGGAGAAGTATGCTCTTCACGGATGATTTCCGGTTTCAACTGTACAGGACAGATTGCGTGTATGGGGTCATGTGGGTGAGCGGTTTGCTGATGTCAACGTTGTGCCCCATGGTGACGGACAACGAACACAATTGCATTTTATCAATGGCAATTTGAATACACAGAGATACGGTGATGAGATCCTGAGGCCCATTGTCGTGCCATTCATCCGCCGCCATCACCTCATGTTTCAGCATAGCATGACAATGCATGGCCCCATGTCGCAAGGATCTGTACACAATTCTTGGAAGCTGAAAAGGTCCCAGTTCTTCCATGGCCTGCATACTCACCAGACATGTCACCCGTTGAGCATGTTTGGGATGCTCTGGATCAGCGTGTACGACAGCGCGTTCCAGATTCCGCCAATATCCAACAACTTTGCACAGCCAAGGAGTGGGACAACGGCAACCGTCTGAGTAACTCTATGCGAAGGAGATGTGTTGCGCTGCATGAGGCAAGTGGTTGTCACACCAGATATGAAATGGTTTTCTGATCCACGCCCCTACCTTTTTTTAAAGGTGTCTGTGAACAACAGATGCGTATCTGTATTCCCAGTCATGTGAAACCCATAGATTAGGGCCTAGTTAATATGTTTCCATTGACTGATTTCCTTATATTAACTGTAACTGTAAATTGTTGCATGTTGTGTTTTATATTTTTGTTCAGTGTGTATTGCATGGTCTATATTAGAATAGCCTAAATAAATAAATTGCCAATTTTGTCCTTTTGGTTGAGTCTATGGAAAGGTATGGTGTATGGATAAGGATGGTCCTTTGTGTGTGTCACAGTGAGGTGATTGGTCTTAAAGAGGAGAGTTCCAGTGTTCAGTCTCTGAAGGGGTTCACCCAGCGCATCGCAGACACAGAGAGGAAAGCCCAGCTAGCATGCAAGGAGAGAGACATTGCCAAGAAGGTAAAACACAAGCTAAGAACTAACACATTCCTTAAGAACTAATTTAAGATAATTGATTTATATAACTGAACATTATTGACAATGATAGTTACATAAAGAAAAAAAAAACCTTCTTCAAGCATACTCTCTCAAGTCTTTGTACTGTTATGTTTCCTCCATAGGAGTTTAAGGGGATGAGGGAAGAGCTGTCCACCAGACTGAACTCCAACGAGACTATGGAGATCATCAGAGAGAAGGAGGTGCAGATCCTTGGACTGCTTGAGGAGGGTGAGAAGCTGTCCAAGTAGCAGCTGCAGCACTCCAATATCATCAAGAAGCTGCATGTGAAGGAGAAGGAGAGTGAGACCAAAATCACCAAACAGAACAAGATGCTGAAAGAGCAAGAGCTCAAACACCTACAGCAGGTCAGTGGAAATATCTTAAATTTTAGAATTTTCTAGAAAAATCGCATTACTTCGCAGGCATCATAAGTGTGTCCTGATCCTGAAAGCCCATTAGTATCGAACCATGCCTGGCTGTGTGTGTGTCTGTAGCTTCTTGATGGGAAGGAGGAGGTGGAGAAGCAGCACAGGGACAACATTAACAAGCTTAACATAGTGGTAGAGCACCAGGAGAAGGACATGACCAAACTCCAGAGTGACTCAGAGGAGCTCCAGGAAAACAAAAAGAGCCTGCAGGCTGCCCTCGACAACTCCTACAAGTAAGAATACAGTACCAGTCAAAAGTTTGGACACACCTACTCATTCAAGGGTTTTTCTTAATTTTGTACTATTTTTTACATTGTAGATGAATAGTGAATACATAAAAACTATGAAATAACACATGGAATCATTTAGTAACGAAAAAAGTGTTTAAGAAATCTTTTTTTTAAAAGATTCTCTCAACCAGCTTCACCTGGAATGCTTTTCCAACAGTCTTGAAGGAGTTCCCACATATGCTGAGCACTTGTTGGCTGCTTTTCCTTCACTCTGCCGTCCGACTCATCCCAAACCATCTCAATTGGGTTGAGGTCGGGGGATTGTGGAGGCCAGGTCATCTGATGCAGCACTCCATCACTCTTCTTCTTGGTAAAATAGCCATTACACAGCCTGGAGGTGTGTTGGGTCATTGTCCTGTTGGAAAACAAATGATAGTCCCACTAAGCCCAAACCAGATGGGATGGCGTATCACTGCAGAATGCTGTGGTAGCCATGCTGGTTAAGTGTGCCTTGAATTCTAAATATAATCACAGACAGTGTCATCAGCAAAGCACCCCCACACCATAACACCACCTCCTCCATGCTTTATGGTGGGAACTAAACATGCGGAGATCATCCGTTCACCCACACCGCGTCTCACAAAGACACGGCGGTTTGAACCCAAAATCTCCAATTTGGACTCCAGACCAAAGGACACATTTCCAATGGTCTAATATCCATTGCTCGTGTTTCTTGGCCCAAGCAAGTCTCTTCTTCTTATTGGTGTCCTTTAGTAGCGGTTTCTTTGCAGAAATTCAACCATGAAGGCCTGATTCACACAGTCTCCTCTGAACAGTTGATGTTGAGATGTGTCTGTTACTTGAACTCTGTGAAGCATTTATTTGGGATGCAATTTCTGAGGCTGGTAACTCTAATGAACTTATCCTCTGCAGCAGAGGTAACTCTGGGTCTTCCATTCCTGTGGCGGTCCTCATGAGAGCCAGTTTCATCATAGCGCTTGATGGTTTTTGCGACTGCACTTGAAGAAACTTTAAAAGTTCTTGAAATGTTCCATATTGACTGACCTTCATGTCTTAAAGTAATGATGGACTGTCGTTTCTCTTTGCTTATTTGAGCTGTTCTTGCCATAATATGAACTTGGTCTTTTACCAAATAGGGCTATCTTCTGTATACCCCACCTACCTTGTCACAACACAATGGATTGGGTCAAATGCATTAAGAAGGAAATAAATTCCACAAATTAACTTTTAAGAAGGCACACCTGTTAATTGAAATGCATTCCAGGTGACTACCTCATGGAGCTGGTTGAGAGAATGACAAGAGTGTGCAAAGCTATCATCAAGGCAAAGGGTGGCTATTTGAAGAATATTAAATATAAAACATATTTTGATTTGTTTAACACTTTTTTTGGTTACTACATGATTCCATATGTGTTATTTCATAGTTTTGATGTCTTCACTATTATTCTACAATGTAAAAAATAGTAAAAATAAAGAAAAACCCTTGAATGAGCAGGTGTTGCCAAACTCTTGACTGGTAGTGTACATACTTCACTCTAACTTGTAAAATAATAAAAACTCTACTTTTCCAACTTTTTTCCTGCTTCAGACGTGCTTGTCATTTAGAAATCCCACAAAGACACACCATTCTGACGGGTAAAGACGGTCACAGAAGCACCAACTCATATTTCCAAGCCATGCAGTGACATGGTGGGGTGTATGTGTGTGATCTCAGGGAACTGGCGGGGCTGCACAAAGCCAAGGCCAGCCATGCCAGCGAGGCCCAGGAGGATGCTTTGAGCAGGGAGACCCAGGCCAAGGAGGAGCTGGCTCTGACCCTTGTGAAGTCCCAGGAGGAGGCCCGCATACAGCAGGATGCTCTGGTCAATCAGGTGGCTGATCTACGGCTGGCTCTGCAGAGGGCTGAACAGCAGCAGGCCAGGAAAGAAGACTACCTGAGGGAGGAGATCAGTGACCACCCGCAGGTAGGAGACACTCACACATGCCTGTTCTCTTCATTACTTCTTTGGAGTTGACTGTAAGGCGCAGCCATGCTTGTGTGATAGGGGTCAAAGGTTACACACTGATGTGTTTACCGGTTGTGTCTATAGAGACTGCAGGGGGCGGAGACCAGGAACCAGAAGCTGAGTCAGATTGTTACCTCGGCAACACGGCCCCTGCTCAGACAGATCGAGAACCTGCAGGCTTCGCTGGGGAGCCAGACGGCGTCATGGGAGGAGCTAGAGAAGAGCATTTCAGATCGACTAGGTGAGAACAGATGTCTCTGATGTCAAAAGTTACTTTAGTTTGTAACAACAGCTTTCTAAGTCTTGTCAGGACCAGATTGCTCCCACCCTTTAACTCAACAGTGGAGGCACAGGCCCAGCTGGCCATTGCCTTGGAAAAGGAGCGAACAGCAACTGAGGAGCTTCTGGCCATTAAGGCCCAGCTGGTCTCACTGGAGTCCCAGAATTCCCTGCTTCGCCAGGAGAAAGGGCGTCTCCACGGTCAGCTGGACGCAGAGAAGATCAGGCGGGAGAAACTGGATGACAGAAGCAGGTAGTGGAGGTCTTCCTGAATACAAAGTGATATGTTTGGAGCAAATCCTATACAACCCATTACTGAGTACCACTCTCCATATTTTCAAGCATACAATGCCTTGCAAAAGTATTATCCCCTTTGTAGTTTTTTATTTTGTTGCATTACAACCTGTAATTTAAATGGATTTTTATTTGGATTTCATGTAATGGACATACACAAAATAGTCCAAATTGGCGAAGTGAAATTAAAAAAATAACTTGTTTCAAAAAATTCTAAAACATCAATAATGGAAAAGTGGTGTGTGCATATGTATTCACCCCCTTTGCTATGAAGCCCCTAAATAAGATCTGGTGCAACCAGTTACCTTCAGAAGTCACATAGTTAGTTAAATAAAGTCCACCTGTGTGCAATCTAAGTGTCACATGATCTGTCACATGATCTCAGTGTATATATACACCTGTTCTGAAAGGCCCCAGAGTCTGCAACACCACTAAGCAAGGGGCACCACCAAGCAAGCGGCACCATGAAGACCAAGGAGCTCTCCAAACAGGTCAGGGACAAAGTTGTGGAGAAGTACAGATCAGAGTTGGGTTATACAACAATATCCAAAACTTTGAACATCCCACGGAGCACCATTAAATCATTATAAAAAAATGGAAAGAATATGGCACCACAACAAACCTTCCAAGAGAGGGCCGCCCACCAAAACTCACGGACCAGGCAAGGAGGGCATTAATCAGAGGCAACAAAGAGACCAAAGATAACCCTGAAGGAGCTGCAAAGCTTCACAGCGGAGATTGGAGTATCTGTCCATAGGACCACTTTAAGCCGTACACTCCACAGAGCTGGGCTTTACGGAAGAGTGGGCAGAAAAAAGCCATTGCTTAAAGAAATAAATATGCAAACGTTTGGTGTTCGCCAAAAGCCATGTGGGAGACTCCCCAAACATATGGAAGAAGGTACTCTGGTCAGATGAGACTAAAACTGAGCTTTTTGGCCATCAAGGAAAATGCTATGTCTGGCGCAAACCCAACACCTCTCATCACCCCGAGAACAACATCCCCATAGTGAAGCATGTCACTGGTGGCTGCATCATGTTATGGGTATGTTTGTAATCATTAAGGACTGGAGTTTTTCAGGATGAAAAAGAAACGGAATGGAGCTAAACACAGGCAAAATCCTGAAATAAAACCTTTTTCAGTCTGCTTTCCACCAGACACTGGGAGACGAATTCACCTTTGAGCAGGACAATAACCTAAAACCCAAATCCAAATCTACACTGGATTTGCTAACAAAGAAGACAGTGAACGCTCCGGAGTGGCCGAATTGCTTGAAAATCTATGACAAGACTTGAAAATGGTTGTCTAGCAATGATCAACAACCAATTTGACAGAGCTTGAAGAATTTTGAAAAGAATAATGGGCAAATATTGTACAATCCAGGTGTGCAAAGCTCTTAGACACTTACCCAGAAAGACACAGCTGTAATCGCTGCCAATGGAGATTCTAACATGTATTGACTCAGGGATGTGAATACTTTTGTATATGAGATATTTCTGTATTTCATTTTCAATAAATTTGCTAAAATTTCTAAAAACATGTTTTCACTTTGTCATTATGGGGAATTGTGTGTAGATGGGTGAGATGTTGTATTTATTTAATCAATTTTGAATTCACGCTGTAACACAACAAAATGTGGAATAAGTCAAGGGGTATGAATACAAAGCTTTGAAGCCTTTCCATTAATGGCCATTTTTTGTAATCCTGATGGTGTAGGGAGCATGTGGAGCTGGAGAATCTGAGGGGAGAGCACATTCGAACACAGGAGGAGGCCAAGAAGGAGAAGGTATGTTCCTTCCCCTGCCCTACTCACCCTGCAGTAACGTAACAACACTCCTCACACATCCTCAGAGCCTGGTTTCTTCCTAGTTTCCTGCCTTTATAGGGAGTTTTTCCTAGCCACTGTGCTTCTATATCTGCATTGTTTGGGGTTTTAGGTTGGGTTTCTGTATAGCACTTTGTGACATCTGCTGATGTAAAAAGGGCTTTATAAATACATTTGATTTGATTTAACCTCCTCTGTTCCTCCCACCAGCTACTCCTGACCAATCAGCTGGAGATGGAAAAAATGAAGGTGGAGCAAAAGAAGAAATGCTATCTAGCACAAGAGGCCCTCAAGGAAAAGATAGATATATTTATTGATTTATGTTCTATATCAATGACCAGCCTTGTATGTCTGTTCTTAAATCAGTCTGTGTTGAAAGAAAATGACATGATGTGTATGTTTCTCTGTCATAAGGAGCGGAAGTCATTAGTTCAGTCTGTGGGTGAGCCCCCAGCCTTATCTACCCCCTCCCTGTCCCATTCCAGCTCCATCAGTGGGGTAGACCACACCTGCCTGCACTCCTCCTTCCCTCAGGTACTCGCCACAGGCACACTGTTTACCCTTTCGCACCCAGCCAACCTCCCATTTTTTGCCCAGAATTAGGGCTGGTGACCTCAGTAAAATGAATAGGGAACTTATGGCAAAGGGCCTAATCAGAGCTAGTTTGCATATTTGTCTCTCTTGAGGTTGGATGGTTAACAAGAGAGACCTGTTTTGTATTTATAATAATAAATATATTGTATTTCATCAGCAGGACTCTCTGGATCAGTCGTTGGGGACGATGACCATGTCCATGTCTTTGAGTGGGACCAACCTGTATGAGACGGCTCGGCTCAGTGGAGGCTCCAACATCATCGAGAACCTGCAGTCCCAGCTTAAACTCAGAGAGGGAGAGAGCGCAGCTACAGGTACCAGCTGCCTGCCTGACACTGCTTTGACATTGCTTTGAGGACTACCATTGGAAGAGTGTCCTACGTGCATTTCTTCAAATGCCTTCTAGTTTTCGATTAAGTGTCTGATTTACAAATATACTTTCTGATGGTTGTTGAAAAACTATGCTTGCCAGGATCTTACCTCTTTCTTTCCCTCGCTCTCTTTCTTTCTCTCTCGTCACCCCCCTCAGCTGGAGATCTCTAGTCTGGAGAGGACTCGCTCTTCCATGGCTGAGGAGATGGTCAGATTGACCAATCAGATTGAGGAGATGGAGGTCAGTGCGAAGGAGAACCCCAAACTGAAAGTGCAACTTCAGGTGAGGAGAGGATAAATTCATACAAGTACCACTAAGCCAGTTGAATCGTATTAGGGTAAATCCCTGTTGTGATTATTTAGCTTAAAACCAAGATGTTATGTGAGAACTAACATCTCACAAGATAAATTGCTGGCCAGAGATGTATAACCATCTAGTCACAGATGAAGGAAAGTCCACTAGAGTAAACCTTCTTGAGACTAGAGATCTAGTGTTGACCTCTGAGCCTGTGTTGTGTGACTGACTGTGTTTTAGGAGCTGGAGCAGAGACACAACACCATCCTCCAGATGTATGGAGAGAAGGCTGAGGAGGCAGAGGAGCTGAGTCTTGACCTGGAGGACGTCAAGAACATGTACAAAACCCAGATTGACAAACTGCTCAAAAAACAGAAATAGACTGATCTATCTATTTAGCGTCCATACACTAGAGACAGATACAATAAACTGATTTTTGTAGAAGTGCATTCACTGTAAAGGATGGGAAAATAGGAGTTCATGCCCCTTTTAGTTTTGATTAAAGAATAGTATTTTTTTTATTACATTCCATCGCTGTTTTTAAATGAAATGGGATTTGAGAATCTGTGATTTATTGTATTATTATTTTAAGTATTTAAGAAGGAAATTATGAGAACATGTGTAACAAATCAATATCTTAACATTTATTTCTCCTTAACTCCAGCATCCTAATTGGCATCAGTATGTATTTTTCTGAATACTGTACATCTTACATCAGGATGAAGGAACAGAAATGGTAGTAAAGATAGTATTTATTGCTTGCTTGCGTTTTTCTTCAGAGGTATTACATGTTGACAACCAAACCCTGCCCTTGGTGTTACTGTGTATGACTGGACTAGGAAATCTGTTGAATTGAAAGTTGTGTTGAGAGGCATTGCAAAGGTCACATGCAGATATCTCAGATGAGGCATTTTCCTTTGAATTAAAAAAGAAAGCTATGATTTCATCTCATGTAAACATGAATAATTTACAAGATGCTTCAATACCTATTTGGGGTTTAACATTTCTAACGAAATAAAATGTATTTGGATAGGTGGTGATTTATTGTTATTTTTTCAGAATTGAATGCAAAACCAACTGCAGATACTGCACTTCTCCAAGTCGGAACTACATCCTACAACTCCACCTTGTGACTAATAATATACTGCATGCCGGTGTTACCGGTGTTTCCGATGTTATGGCGACCTGGAGCGTCTATATTTTAGTTTGCAGAAGGTAAGCGCCAGGTTTAATAAATGTGCAGGTTATTCTTCCGATCGACCACAAACTTTTTATTATTCCCGATAAGTTTATTTTCGAAGTTAGAACCTTCAAACACTCACTTTTCTCGGAATGCATTTTACTGTATACCAGCCAAAGCAGTGCCACCAAAAAGTTACAACTGATATCTGGGAAGCCGGGCCGGGATGATTTGTCGACAAATGCGAAGCTACTATCCAGAAATTGTATTAGGGGCGATTTGTAATGGTCGTGTAATAACATTGGTGCAACTTCGTAAGGAGCTCTAGAGCAGTGATAGTCGTACCCCGTAAGCTACAGATAATTATATATTGGTGAACAACTAGTGAAAATCGGACAATGTGTCAGTCACTGCGCGTATGGGCCATAGCGTGGGTTACATTGTAGCAATCAATAGAACTATTGTGTTGTGGAAGCAGCAATTTATTTATTTGATACAGTAGCCGGCCTGGTACCGGAACACCCTGAGAAAAAAGGTGTCAAACGCAAAGTAGCAGCCAAGTAGCCTACTATCTATGGTGGTGAAACGGACAGCACTCTCAAGGTGCTAATTAGGGGTTTACACAAGTGCGAATTTCTTATAGCCTAATTTTCTAGACATCAATGTACAGCAACATTTTTAGACGACACTGCAGAACACCCACCATATGCACACATACTCAGCTGTGGGGTTTACAAGACCCGAATTTCATATAATTTTCAAGACATCAATGTAGCAGTAGAACAAATATCACCATATCGGAATATAACGTCAAATAAAATAAGTCAATGTAGGCTACAGCAGAACACGTATGAGAATATACACTGCTCAAAAAAATAAAGGGAACACTTAAAAAACACATCCTAGATCTGAATGAATGAAATAATCTTATGAAATAGTTTTTTCTTTACATAGTTGAATGTGCTGACAACAAAATCACACAAAAATTATCAATGGAAATCAAATTTATCAACCCATGGAGGTCTGGATTTGGAGTCACCCTCAAAATTAAAGTGGAAAACCACACTACAGGCTGATCCAACTTTGATGTAATGTCCTTAAAACAAGTCAAAATTAGGCTCAGTAGTGTGTGTGGCCTCCACGTGCCTGTATGACCTCCCTACAACGCCTGGGCATGCTCCTGATGAGGTGGTGGATGGTCTCCTGAGGGATCTCCTCCCAGACCTGGACTAAAGCATCCGCCAACTCCTGGACAGTCTGTGGATGGAGCGTGACATGATGTCCCAGATGTGCTCAATTGGATTCAGGTCTGGGGAACGGGCGGGCCAGTCCATAGCATCAATGCCTTCCTCTTGCAGGAACTGCTGACACACTCCAGCCACATGAGGTCTAGCATTGTCTTGCATTAGGAGGAACCCAGGGCCAACCGCACCAGCATATGGTCTTACAAGGGGTCTGAGGATCTCATCTCGGTACCTAATGGCAGTCAGGCTACCTCTGGCGAGCACATGGAGGGCTGTGCGGCCCCCCAAAGAAATGCCACCCCACACCATGACTGACCCACTGCCAAAACGGTCATGCTGGAGGATGTTGCAGGCAGCAGAACGTTCTCCACGGCGTCTCCAGACTCCATCACGTCTGTCACGTGCTCAGTGTGAACCTGCTTTCATCTGTGAAGAGCACAGGGTGCCAGTGGCGAATTTGCCAATCTTGGTGTTCTCTGGCAAATGCCAAACGTCCTGCACGGTGTTGGGCTGTAAGCACAACCCCCACCTGTGGACGTCGGGCCCTCATACCACCCTCATGGAGTCTGTTTCTGACCGTTTGAGCAGACACATTCACATTTGTGGGCTGCTGGAGGTCATTTTGCAGGGCTCTGGCAGTGCTCCTCCTGCTCCTCCTTGCACAAAGGCGGAGGTAGCAGTCCTGCTGCTGGGTTGTTGCCCTCCTACAGCCTCCACGTCTCCTGATGTACTGGTCTGTCTCCTGGTAGCGCCTCCATGCTCTGGACACTACGCTGACAGACACAGCAAACCTTCTTGCCACAGCTCGCATTGATGTGCCATCCTGGATGAGCTGCACTACCTGAGCCACTTGTGTGGGTTGTAGACTCCGTCTCATGCTACCACTAGAGTGAAAGCACCGCCAGCATTCAAAAGTGACCAAAACATCAGCCAGGAAGCATAGGAACTGAGAAGTGGTCTGTGGTCACCACCTGCAGAACCACTTCTTTATTGGGGGTGTCTTGCTAATTGCCTATAATTTCCACCTGTTGTCTATTCCATTTGCACAACAGCATGTGACATTTATTGTCAATCAGTGTTGCTTCCTAAGTGGACAGTTTGATTTCACAAAAGTGTGATTGACTTGGAGTTACATTGTGTTGTTTAAGTGTTCCCTTTATTTTTTTGAGCAGTGTACATTATAAGCCTCCTGCCTATGTGATAGTATGAAGCACATATTCAGATTACCAGAAAAAAAATCCTACCTTGGTTTTCAAAACATCCCACAATGACTCTCCCCATGTCAAGTCCATTTAACTCCTGAGAGTCAACTTTTTGCTCAAAGCCAGGAGCGGGACTGTGGCTGTGATGTTTAGCCTCCTTCTAAGGCTGTTCTGAAGACTGGCTGTAGTGTCTGTTATTATAATTTTCTTGAGTGTTAACCTGGGTGTCCTCTTTAGCCTTGTCTACGAGGCTTGCTGCCACCAAATACGCCTTTTTTTTTTTAGGGCTCGTTGTTGTTGTTTTTTGCGTCTGATGCATAGGATGTTAATTTACTGTACATTCCACCCACTCTTTTGCTAGTTTAATCCCTCCAGTCCTTTCTAGATTGTATAGCCCAATTTTGAATTCAGCATGACAAACTAGGGTTATACGTTTGCTTGTTCTTGAACTGCAAGTTGCACCTGCTCCAATCACTTCGTAGGTGGATGCACTGTCCCCCTCCCCCCCAGCTCCCCATCTCCCTCTCCCGCTGAGTCTGAGTCGCTAGAAGGCCTACTAGCTAGTGGAGGTGCCGGTGGTGATGTTGAACTGGCGGGATTAGCATCGCCATCAGGAACAGTTTGCCCCTCACTCCTCTCCTCCATCACTGACAGTTCTCTGGCTCGTTCTGGGTTCGATTCACCATCTTTCTCTGGATTTTTGGACTTTAAATGAAAAAGGTCACTAATATTTCCTGCAACAGGACTACTACTATATGGAGTTCAGATCTGCCTCAAGGCAGGTTCCCACACTACAGTGGGGAAAAAAATGTATTTAGTCAGCCACCAATTGTGCAAGTTCTCCCACTTAAAAAGATGAGAGACCTGTAATTTTCATCATAGGTACATGTCAACTATTTTGTTTCTGGTGTCCTTTGACAGCTCTTTGGTCTTGGCCATAGTGGAGTTTGGAGTGTGACTGTTTGAGGTTGTGGACAGGTGTCTTTTATACTGATAACAAGTTCAAACAGGTGCCATTAATACAGGTAACGAGTGGAGGACAGAGGAAATCTTGCTTGTTTGTAGGTGACCAAATACTTATTTTCCACCATAATTTGCAAATAAATTCATAAAAAAATCCTACAATGTGATTTTCTGGATTTTTTTTTCTCAATTTGTCTGTCATAGTTGACGTGTACCTATGATGAAAATTACAGGCCTCTCATCTTTTTAAGTGGGAGAACTTGCACAATTGGTGGCTGACTAAATACTTTTTTCCCCCACTGTATAGTCTATACCCACACACTTGTAAACTGCGGTATCCATCTCTTACCCTAGATTACAGGACTACTACTATATGGAGTTCAGATCTGCCTCAAGGCAGGTTCCCACACTATAGTCTATACCGACACACTTGTAAACTGTGCTATCCATCTCTTACCCTAGATTACAGTGTGTAGTAGTCCTGTAATCTAGGGTAAGAGATGGATACCGCAGTTTACAAGTGTGTGGGTATAGACTATAGTGTGGGAACCTGCCTTGAGGCAGATCTGAACTCCATAAAGTAGTAGTCCTCTTGCAGGAAATATTAGTGACCTTTTTCCTACCATTGTTAGAGCAATCATGGCTGGTATAGGGGAAATTGACATAAAAAAACAAGTGCAGGACCAGTATGACCAGTGCTTAATTTGAGCCAGATCCTGCCGGAACTGGATTCGGCACCTCTCAGATTTGACTTTGTTTGTTCCGGCACCTACAGTTGAAGTCCCTCCCTCCCTCCCTCCCTCCCTCCACAGAGTTTGCGCTGTGCTGTGAGGTAAGCCAAGGCTGGTAGAACTGACTATGCTGCGGCTGGTAGCACTGGTCATGGTCTGTACTTACACTGTGGTAGCTGCTGAGGAAGCTGAGAACACCAGCCACAGACCACCACTCCACTACAGCAGCCTCATGCTGCCACAGCACCATATCTCCTACTTCCTCCACAATAACAAGAGAGTGGCCAGGCTCTGTCGAGAGGACCCGCGCTGCCCTTTAAAGTAAGAACTGTACTTTCATTGTACTTTCATTGGTGAGTGTTATTATTAATTGTACCCGCCTACCTGTCAGACCTACTCTACCCCTATGAACCTCCACGCACCCCACGTTCAAGCCACGCAAAACTCATCCATGGGGGACTGTGCCTTTTCCTCCAATGCACCACACCTATGGAACTCCCATCCTTATAATCTCAGCGCTGTTCAGACTATTGTTTTTTTAAAAGCAGGCCTTAAAACTAATCTCTATTGGCTGGCCTACCATTATGTCCTTCCTCCTAGACTTTGAATGTTGCTTTCATGATATGGTTAGATATACTGTATTTATTTAGTTTTTTAAACTGTTTTTATGTTTCTATTTTATTTTATGCACTTTGGGATTATTCTTGTATAATGAAAGTGATTTGCAAATGTAATATATTATTATTATTAATGTCAGTAATAGGGCCCTTAGACTACCATGTTGGTTATCGTCATACACAGTGTGGAGGGGGATTAGCTCATTTTAACACTTGAATTTTCGTCAAGGTAAATGTCTTGGCTAAGCAGCCATAGTCTTGTGGACAGAAAGTAACACTTAATTTTAGAGCTTAAGTCTAAAACAATTGAAGCTTCCTGTGTTGGACAGTGACCACGTAATTATGTTTTGTGTGTCACGGTGGTACAAGAAGGCTGTTTTTAGTGGGGTCTTTTAAGTTCCATCCAAGTGTTTAGCACATCTTTAGTTTTTGCCTCCCCCTTCCCCACCCTTTAATGTTTTACAACAGGATGCTCTGCTGGATGTGTCGGCCTGCTGGGGGTATGAGAAGAACTGTTCCCCAGAGAACTGCTTTGGCTATCCTCTCTGCACACGGGTTGACTCCGGATGGTACAATACAATCCCCCTCTCTGCATTCACTAACAAGAATATTGTTTCCTTTTATTCATTAGCATAATGTGTCAAGCTCTTGTCATACATGTGGATGTGCATAATTTATTTCTGCCACTGGTTTGGCCTAACAGAGCTCTTCGTCCTCCCTATGGCCAGCTCATTGGAGGTAGCCCAGGAGCTGTTCTGGAAACAGGCAGACTTTGGTTACGTCAGGGAGCGCCTCAGTGAGATGAAGGCTCTCTGCAAGGTCACCAATTCTGTAAGCCCTTCCTCTAGTGCAGCTGCACACAGGACTCATGAATCCACACAGATAAACAGAAAAGGCATTTGCTAAACGCTCACATTTTATTTCTAGGGAGACTCGTCTCTGAAATGCACCAGCCACACTCGCTTCTGCAGGGCAACCAATCTGTACTTGGACCTGCGGAACCCTCGCAGGGGTCATGTGAGGTCAGTGCACCCTGGGGGACACGTCTTGTCTAGAGCCCCATCTGGGTTCCTTGTTTTCCAGTGTGGGAAGAATCCTAGTAGTTTAGTTTTTATTGGGTCTTTCTTTAGTGTTTCTTACATTTGCTTGTCTCTTCATCGTCATTGACCTGAAAGGCGGGATAGGTGAAAGCAGTATGACAGACCCTCTTGGCCTAATGAAATAAATTATGATAAAATGAGAACTGTGGGACTCACCTGTGTTTTCTCTGCAGGTATAAGGAGGACTTTCTCCAGGAGGGGGAGATTGGGGGGCGTTGCAGTCTGAACAGCCGAGCGCTGGCTGCAGAAGGAGAGCACAAGAGCCCTCTGCAGTCCTGGTGAGACAAAACATAGACTCCTTATGACCCTCCCTGAACTGTCTGATTCATATCAAGGTTTCTTCTTACTAAGGACATTTCTCTCTGTAACAAAAGTAAAACGGTTCAATTTGATTGATTGATGGTCACGTCTGTGAATATGAATAACACAGGCATGATATACAATGAAACACACTTGTTTTCCCTCCCAAGGTATGCTGAACTACAGACATAGCTGAACTTCAACCCCACAGGTGAAGAGCACTGTGACATCATCTTTGAGAAACCTACTGTATTCATGAAGCTTGATGCAGGTGGGCATGGTCTTCATGCCTTTTTAGTACAATGTCAAATAACACATTTTGTTTGTGTACAGTGTAGTGACAATATAGATAAAATAAATAGAACATGCTTGGAACCCTGGCAATTTGACTGGAAACTCATGGGTACACTCGCAATGGCTGCCTGGTATTGTGATGCAATAATTTCCATGATATTTTGGAATGTTCTATCAACTGATGCTGGATTGCCAAGGTAATGTAGAATGTTCATTCAAATGATGCTAACTGTTGTGGCTTATGCAATGGAATGTATTTTTTGCCATGTCAGTTGAGTTGTCTCAACAAATCACAGCACAGATTGAAGGGTAAACTTCCAGCTTTTACTTTCTGGCATGGGTCTAGGTTGAAGATTGAGAAGGTTAAGACAATGTAATATTTCCATGCAGAAGCGTTCTGAAATAAACAAATTCATTGGACCAGCACCGGAGCGAAAATAACTGGAAGTGAATGTTAGCAGTACAGAAAGTTTGCCATGAAAGTGGAAAATACACACAATCGTAGTGAATTTCAGCCAACTAGTCAGCAAACACATCGCCTAACTGTTTTAATGTCGTTCTATTTAAATGTCTTTCAAATGATCTACAGCCACTTTATTAATTGATTTCCCGACCGCATGTAATGTTTTCAATGCTAATCCTGTAGTATTAGCAATGGCACTGGTTCAATTAATGTGTTTATTTTCTAACGCTGATGAATTAAATTATAACGTTGTCTTAACCTGTATTGTTTCGACCTAGGAATGGGTACACTCAAAATGGCTGCCAGTCCACCCATTATGCCATCATTGACTTGAATGGAGATGGCCTATCTATTCATTTTATTGCTATTGTAGTGACACAGGAAAGCCGAGGTCACACGAAGCAATCTGGACACAGTTGATGTTGTTGCATCTGGGTTGCTCCGTGTGTCACCCCCCAAACAATAGCCTGCAACTTAGTTGCATTGCATCGCAAGAGATGGAATCAATCCTATTTCACGCAACTGACTTTATACAATGTCCAATCAGTGAGCAGAAAAAAGTTGACATGACTTGTCATATTGTTCCGTTCAGAACTTCGACCCAGTTGTCATGTCAACACAGCTGTCAGTGCTGCTGCAAACTGCGACAAAAGAGACATGCCAAATGGGAAATGCATAAAAAATTATAGATATCATGACTAGTCATGTATATGGTCTGCCAGTCAATAAACATTTTAAAAAGTGAACCCAGACCTTTCTCTGTCTAGTTTCAACTGAAATTGTCCAACATGAACTGCATTATCTAGCTAGCTTATTAGCTTGTCGCTAGCTTGGTTAGCTATCTAGCTAGCTTGGTAAAACTTGGTTGGAAAATAGGCAACCTTTTGCTAGCTAGGTAAATTGTACAGCCAGCATTTTGTCTATGTCGATGCTGTTACAATTAACAAACGTTTGGATAAACAAATCATTTATGAAACCGTGATGTATGACAGGATTGGATGTTGCATGCAATTTCAATTACGTTTGAATTGCTTTGTGTATCTGCAAACCTGCCTGAGATGATGTCACTTGCAACTTGCATCTGCAACAGAAATTGCATCCAAATTGCTTCGGGTGACACAGCCTTAATAGAGGTACTGACTGAGATGTGATGAGGCAACCTGAATGTGTCTTTTTGGCAGGAGTTAACATGTACCATCATTTCTGTGACTTTGTCAACCTGTACATCTCCCAGCACATCAACAACTCCTTCAGCAGAGACATCAACATCCTCATGTGGGACACGGTAAGTACAATATTCTGCAGCCCATCTCCATTTCACTGATCTGAGACGACTGAATAAGTGCAAGACATATGGTGATGGCTTAGCTGGGCCCTCCAATAGGCTACTTAAAGATTCCACCATGTTGCTGTCACCTCGCAAGCTGAATGTTTTGTCCAAAGCTGTTTGTACAAAAAGAAGCAAGAGTATGGTTGTTTACCAGTGTTGTGTATCGATGTGTTGTGTTTCACATTTGACCACTTGCTTGCGGAGGGGATTAAGGTGAAGCAGTAGGTGTAAAACAGAATGATTTATGGGAAACCTTATCCTGTCCAGTGTTCCCACCTCTGTCGGTGGAGGTGAAGGATAAGGGTAAAGAAAAAGGGGGAGAGAGAGAAAATGACAGCGAGAAGGAAAGGAATGGCCTTTCATCTGACAATAGTGTTGAGCGAGGTCTGTTCGGTTTCGGTTCGCACATTTTTGTTTTATCACGGTTTTCGATTTCGGTTTAGATTATTTTTTTAAACATTAAATGCACTGTGCATTATGTGGGTTGAATGCTGTAACAACACAGAATAAAACAATAATATTAAGTCCCGTGATGATAAGTGGTGGTAGTGATTGCCCATTACTGCTTATCAATTATTAACCATAAATTATTCACATTACTTTACTTTAATAAAATATTTCAGTTGTTGTGTATATTACATTTGTTTTCTTTGATGACCTTATTATTTCATTCCAAGTTATCATCTCATCTAGAGAACTGCTGCCTATGCTGTCTGACAAAATAACTATTTTAGTAGTTCTTCAAAGTAAATAAGGCATACTTTTATGACTGCTGAATACCAAATATCAATCACTTAGATCATGTCTTTTCAGGTAGAGATACTTTTGTAAATATATAGTGTATGTGGACACCCCTTCAAATGAGTGGATTCGGCTATTTCATCCACACCCGTTGCTGACCGGTGTATAAAATCGAGCACACAGCCATGCAATCTCAATAGACAAACATTGGCGGTAGAATGGCCTTACTGAAGAGCTCAGTGACTTTCAATGTGGCACCGTCATACGATGCCACCTTTCCAACAAGTCAGTTTGTCAAATTTCTGCCCTGCTAGAGCTGCCCCGGTCAACTGTAAGTGCTGTTATTGTGAAGTGGAAACCTTTAGGAGCAACAACGGCTCAGCCGCGAAGTGGTAGGCCACACAAGCTCACAGAACGGGACCACAGAGTGCTGAAGCGCGTACCGTGTAAAGATTGTCTGTCCTCGGTTGCAACACTCACTACCGAGTTCCAAACTGCCTCTGGAAGCAACGTCAGCACAAGAACTGTTCGTCGGGAGCTTCATGAAATGGGTTTCCATGGCCGAGGAGTCTAAGATCACCATGCGCAATGCCAAGCGTCGGCTGGAGTGGTGTAAAGCTCGCCGCCATTGGACTCTGGAGCAGTGGAAACGAGTTCTCTGGAGTGATAAATCACGCTTCACCATCTGGCAGTCCGAATGACGAATCTGGGTTTGGCATATTCCAGGAGAACGCTACCTGCCGAATGCATAGTGCCAACTGGAAAGTTTGGTGGAGGAGGAATAATGGTCTGGGGCTGTTTTTCATGGTTTGGGCTAGACCCCTTAGTTCCAGTGAAGGGAAATCTTCACGCTACAGCATACATTGACATTCTAGACGATTCTGTGCTTCCAACTTTGTGACAACAGTTTGGGGAAGGCCCTTTCCTGTTTCTGCATGACAATGCCCCCGTGCACAAAGCCAGGTCCATACAGAAATGATTTGTTGAGATCATTGTGGAAGAACTTGACTGGCCTGCACAGAGCCCTGGCCTCAACCCCTTCTAACAACTTTGTGATGAATTGGAATGCTGACTGCGAACCAGGCCTAATTGCCCAACATCAGTACCCGACCTAATTAATGCTATTTTAGCAAGTCCCACAGCAATGTTCCAACATCTAGTGGAAAGCCTTCCCAGAAGTGTGGAGGCTGTTATAGCAGCAAAGGGGGGACCAACTCCATATTAATGCCCATGATTTTGGAATGAGATGTTCGATGAACAGGTGTCCGTGTACTTTTGGTCATGTAGTGTACCTTGTGAAGCAACTGCTCTCAATTCCTCTCAATCTCACATTCCACTAGAAGAGAGTTCTAAACCTCTCTGCCAATAACAGCTAATTTTCAGTTTTCCCCTCCCCTCTCAGACCACTCACAGAAAGTCTTAGCAAAATTCTTGCTTGATAATTTGCTCTTTGCTAAGAAGCTATTTTTGTTTCTTTTTGACAATTTTAATTTAAAACAACCACAGTAAGGTACTTAATAGTTACCCAGAAATTATTTGATATTCAGATAAAATCGGGTGCATTAGACCTTTAAACAAGTGGCTGACTGTTGGTCAAGTACAGTTCTAATGAAACATACACCATAATACAAACAGTGTTTCGTAATACTCTCCATGAAATCTGAAATTAAGTTTAGCCAGTTCGATGAAACAACTGAATTTCAAAGTAATCTTTCTGATGTATTTTTCTTGGATGGATCTGTTCAGTGAGACCTGGAAGGCTTGCTCTGACTATGACATCATCCATCTAAAAACTTTTGACACTAAAAGGGTAAGAGTGTGTGTGTGGCCGTACATGGTTGTATAACGTATCCATTACCTTGAAACAGGTGTGCTTCAAAGATGTCGTGTTCTCCCTGCTCCCCAGGATGAGATATGGGTTGTTCTATAACACACCTTTGGTTCGTATTCTGTCTATCTCTTTATGTGTAATGGAAATATAGAGATAGGATTGCGCCGCCTATGAGGAAATCTGAATCCATTTGAACTGCTTGGGATGTCCCTGCCTTTCTGACTCCATGCCTTTTCTAATTTTGATCACACAGGCTTTATGTCCGTGTTTTCTTTTCATGCTTCTCGCCTCATCATGCCGTTTTCCTTTATCATCTGATATCCAGCTTGGTCATGACTCAAAACATGCCATTTGGGTCAAATATTTATGCTATGTACTCATCATGTCCAGCTCTTAAGTTATTTAAATGATCATTTCAATGAGATTTATGTAAAGATGGTATCATTTAAATACGTAGGTCTAGGGGGTCAGCCTTGAGGTGTGAAATATTGATAGGTTAGCCTCATATCTGATGCCTTGGATTGCTCCTGCTGCTTATATCATGTTTATATTCATGTGCTTATATTTATGACTGCTGTGCTCTGGCCTGTAGGAGTGAATCGTAGACTTGTGCTAGGCATGGATTTAAATTATGTGTCTTTCCATGTGGGTATGGAATGTGTTTGGATTTGGCAGAGTTATATCAAATTACGATTTTCACTGTGTGTGTGTACGTGCGTGTGTGTGAGGAACATTGAGTGTGTGTGCGTGCGTGGGTCAGACAGATAGAACTGATGGATTTTTCTTGGTGTGTTAATGGCAGATATCTGACTGCCACAGTGAAGGGTTGTTCAGGGCCTTCTCCCAGCATGTTCTATATCGACTCAGCATTCCACAGGATGGACCCAAGGTAAGGAATACTTACCACACACATGCACACACACCTTTCCTCATTGGTCTGTAACTCACCGATACAGGCTTTACTGGTCTTTACGACCCCAGACTAAGTACATTTGGCTATATCTTTACGACCACTGAAGGCGGTTGCGAGGATGCAGCTCATTGTGTATTCACGGCTGATGCTAAGAATATGCTAACAGCCTTCCTGTGAGATGGCAGTGCTTGCGATACCGTCTCCCAGCTGAATAAGAGGTGTGCCCGGCCCTGACCGCCTCTCAGCTCCTCTCCTCCTTTCATCCCTCTGATTAATGGTTCAGGGAGACACCAGTCTGCTCCTCTCTGCCATTGTGTTCTACTCATCAGAATATCAGCTCTCCTTATGTACACACTGCTGTTTCATGTCATCCATCTAATATGCTTTTATAGTTGGGTAAATGCATTTATTTGGCATTATGTGGTGGAGTGTTCCCTCTGGGTTTCTCCTGACAGTCTGTGTGGCTTGTGATTGACCACTTCCACAGTTTCTCTGTTTTTAGCATTAGGAGTTGTCTTCCTCAGGCTATTTTCAACTCAGATGGTACAATGCCAGTGAGACTGAAAGGGAGTTTTGTAGGACTTTTAGCCACTAGATGGTGATGCTGTATAGTATATTTGCTCTCTCACTTGTTATATCAACCCTCTGTGCTGTAGCTCTATCATCAAACAATATTTGTAAAAAATGTAGGGAGCCTGCCCCTTATTGGTCGTGGTCGTTTTCTACAAGTACATAACGTTGAGATTAAGGTCCTTGAAAAGCTATGGATGGGTTTACAGTTTTTCTCAATCATGTAAAAGCATCTCTGGGATCTGTGTTGAAACGTGTCTATAGCAGCAATGATCAAATGCTCAAATACTTTTACAGATCATTTTCTTGCCTTTGTACCTGAGTTGCATATCTTAGACCCACTTTTGCTCAACTTTAAATACAAATGTCATCATTGAATACAACATTGTTTTAATTGGAAGAGAAATGTGTGCAATTGTGTTCACTGTTTCCAGCAATCAGTGTCATACCATGTACTAGGGAAAGATCTAGGCAATGGGGACTAAGTTATATGATTTTTTACAATATTGTGGACATGCAAATATTCCCAATGGTGGAACAAGCTCCCCCACGATGCCAGGACAGCGGAGTCACTGACCAACTTCCAGAGACACTTGAAACCCTACCTCTTTAAGGAATACCTGGAATAGTATAACAGTAATCCTTCTACCCCCCTCCCCCACCCCCCATAAATATTATTTTTTTAAAGGTGGTTGTCCCGCTGGCTGTCCTAAGTTCAATGCACCAATTTGTAAGTCGCTCTGGATAAGAGCGTCTGCTAAATGACTTAAAAATGCAAAGATGGGACCTTCCATTATAGAGCTTTGATGTGGATTGAGGCCTATACATTCATATCAGCTGTGTTCTTCTGTTGTATTCACCTTTTCTTATTTCTATTGTGGATTGTGTTTCTGTGCGCCAATGAAAAGTCTACAAAACAATGAGCAAACCAACCTTTTGTATTGAATACATGGAATTGGATTGTGATGATACCGATGGATGAATCCTGCACACAATGTGCTTATTCTTTTCCACTTTTTATCAGGAATAATATTTGATTTGATTTATATGAAATTGTTTAGTCAAATATGCATAAAAGGAGAGTAATTGCCCATAATTCTACACCTTTGGATAGTTGTATTTCCAATGTTGATCATCATGATTAAGTGACTGCAAATAAAATGTATTGATCTATTGGGATTCTAAAAAGACAGACTAACTTTCTGTTTTGTGTGCTTGGACTCAAGAGATATTTTTTCAGGCAGTCGTGTTCTTTTTATTAATGTTTTTGCAGTTTTGATGGTGGGATAATTTTTATGAATGTACTGTATTCATGTTTTGAGAAGGCAACTACATTTTGAAAGTGCATTTACTGTTTTGCAAAAGGACACAGAGATTCTGTGTCTTGTCGACTCTGTTTTGAAAATCAACAAAATTGTTCCAAGAAATGCTTGTACGCGATTGAGAAAAACGGTATTATGTGAAATGCTGGAGTTCATCTTCTGCAATTCCTGTTAATGGACCATATTCAATATACATGTCATATTTATATAATGTCAAGTATCGTAAGTATCATCTCACTACACCTGATCCTTATGCTCCTGTTTTCAGGAGGGGAGGATTCGTGTCACATTGTTGGCACGCAGCACAGACTACCGTAAGATATTAAACCAGGAGGAGGTGAGTCCAGTCTGAGGCAGCACTGCCCACTCTCTGCTCCTTTCCTTCCTCCCTCCCTCCATTGATTTACTGCCTCCTCCAGCTCTTAACTGGCCGTTTAAAATCTTATTTCAACTGGCGGAGTAAAATACCTGTGATTTATGCGGCCAGTGTCTGTGTTTGTTCCTCTCATTGATCAGAGAATGCATCTCACTGTGTTCATACAGCTCATAAATGCCCTGAAGACCGTGCCTTTACTCGAGGTCAGAGTGGTGGATTACAAATACAAGTGAGTGTGAAAAGTTTGTATTCTTTAGACGCATATAAAGGGGAGTATTGGTGGAGGAATCATATGGTACTGCTGGAGGACCTAAGGCTGCAGCACAAAGGGAATTGAGTAACAGGTGTATTTTATTGTCTGACACCTCTATTAGAGTGGGGTAAATATTGAATGTACAGTGAATGGTATAGTATGTTGGAGTGAAGTCAGTAGGGGCATTATGAGTTAAGTAGTAAGTTAAATAATTTAGCATTTGATGTGAGGGCTGCAGGTGCTAGGTGTGTGACATCTATCTATCAGTCTATCTGTCTTTTCTTGTCTTGTCTGTAGGGATGTCCCGTTCCTGGAACAGCTCAGGATTACCCACAACTCTGACATCTTCATCGGGATTCATGGGGCGGGACTTACTCACCTGCTCTTCCTCCCTGATTGGGCCGTCATCTTTGAGCTGTGAGTGACACTGTTCAGTCTGCCTGTGTGTGTCTAAAACAGCTTTATGTCTTTGGGTTTTTCTGTGTCTGTGTATCTGTCTGTTCCACTGGATCCTTGTCTGTCTGTCCCTCCATGCTCTGTGGACGGTGTAGTACGGGCGAACAGGGCAGAGCGCTCCCTGTGCCGTTTGTGCTGGATATAGTGATATCTGTGTGATGGGTCTGGCAGCGTGCTGTGCTCTGTAAGAGCTGTTAGCCCTTAGCCATTAAGTGCAGCAGTGAAATACGGCCTAATTAAACAGGCATTCCTCAGGCAGGGCCAGGCAGGGCTGGGAGGCATACTGAGAGAAGAGAGCAAGAGCAGGAGATAAAGTGTCTGCAGCTGTTCTCCACAGATATAACTGTCAGGATGAGAGCTGCTATCGAGATCTGGCTCGGCTGCGGGGGATCCAATATGCGACTTGGCAAAAAAGGGACAAAGTGCTCCCAGAAGATAAGGTGGGAAACTCTAGTGCCGCTCCTGCCACCTCCACCTAACTCACTGCCCCAGATCCCCAGAGACACCTTACCAATCCTCACCTGTAGCTGCAGCATGTATCACCAGACTCATCTGTCATTTTTATTTTAGTATATACACTCACGTTGCCTCGCACACACACTCACAAATCGCAGACCTGCAGTGCAGTGTTCATAAAGACTGAAAGACTCTTTCTTTCACTCTCCCCCCCCCCCCCCCCCCCCCCCCCCCCACACCTCACACACAGGGTCACCATCCCTCCCTGGGGGAGCATCCTAAGTTCACCAACTACTCCTTTGACGTGGAGGACTTCATGCGTCTGGTGCTGGAAGCAGCAGACTACGTCCTGAACCACCCCAAGTGGAAGCCCCAGCCCAGGCGTGATGAACTGTAAGCCCCAGCAGCAGAAGGAACACAGGACAGTCAAACCCCGGACTCAAACACAGCCATCTTAGAAATCTAAAAGTAAATTTGAACACTTAAGATGTTGAATATTGTCAAGGTTAAATGTAAGTTTACAACATCGCTTTTCAGTTATTTATTATCTGCCAACACAGCCCAGGGTACATCTCAATAGCGATAATAAGGACAAATCAAATGGCCTTGGCAAACCTTGTTAGAGAAACGTATGCACTCCTTACAACAATTGCCTATTTGTATTACATGCTGCCACTGGTATGGTTGCCAGAAAGATAATTTGTTTCATTTCTAAACAATGTGCTTTTTTTCTGCATTTTCTGTTCAAAGTTATGTGTTGTAGACAGGCAGGGATGGAACTTTCAGCATGTTGTGTATGTGCCAATTTGATCAACACTTCAGAATCGTCTTTGCAAGTATTTTGTAGACACTGTCGCACATAAACTATCGAATGAATCTAAAGCTTGATGTTTTATTTATGAGAAAGGGAGTCAGACCTTTTGGTCGATGTTTTGCAAAGACTTGTAAGTCATTTTATATTTCAAGGCCATGGAAACATTTTGAATAAATATTTTCAAAAAAGCTGACACATCTCTTTTTTGTGTGCAATTTAACCCTAAAAGTGGCAACATATTTTTAGCTTAAAAGCACCAACTGGGGTCATTTTTGATGACCAAATTGGTAATGATTGCAAAGAAACACTGTCTGTCAAGCTGTAAAAAAATTATAAAAATGTAACCTTTTGTAACACACTTAGATGGTTTTAATTCTGCAAAACAAGCATATATTTGACATTTTTCACACATTTATAGTCAAGTTTTATGTTTAAAAATATGTTTCTGTGTGTTTTCTATGTTTTTAACAGTTATTTTGAGCAACTGAACATGTTTCTGTTATTAATTCAAAGTGTTGTGTTTCTGTGATATTCGATGGCTGAGAAATTGCAGATTGAGCCAATCTGACATACCGGTATGACCTAAAATGGCAGCCGATATGGGCGATATGATCCGATTTTTGGAAAGCTATGGGCTATCAACTCAGTTCCAATTGCATCTGAAAGATGAGACTCTCACCTTGGTATAGAGACATTGACTGGAAGCTAAATATGTATTTAAAAAAGTTAAAGTGACATTTTTGACATGTGTTTTTCTGGATTTTTTTGTTGTTCTGTCTCTCGCTGTTCAGGTGAGCCTACCATTAGAATTGTGGACTGGTCGTTTCTTTGTCGGTGGGCAGGTGTGCAGAATCAGCAGGGGATCAAATGCTTTTTTCCCTCACTGTATTTTTTTCTGTGATATTAATGACTTCTGCTGGAAGGTCAACGTGAAGCTTATGAATGTCTGCTGCTATTCCCATTAACCCTGAGGAGCTAAGGGACAGACACTGTTCATCCAATTTGTATGTCGCTCTGGATAAGAGCGTCTGCTAAATGACTTAAATGTAAATGTCAAATTTTAAATTTTTCTGTTTTAGTGACTGCCACTCCCCCCAGGGGCCAAATCTGGGGTGGCTCCATATCTATATATTTTCAGGGTACATGCATCTACTTCTGTGCTAAATGTGATGCTTTTATGACAAAGTGCGCACTTGAGTCAGATATATTATTTTTATTTCTTCCATATTAACACAGAAATCATAGTAAATTGTGTTTATTTTTGTCGGTAACTAGTTGCTTGACAAAGTCTTACAGTTTCGGAAGGTTTCGAAATTATGATGTTTTTGACACTTGGGGTCAAAATGTACTCGTGGGCGCTATGCAACAGTGATTTTATTAATCACAATTTGAAGAATCTTTGATGGTGACCATGAACAGAAACACTCTTAACTTTTCCAAAATAATTGCTGATCTCAAACAGTTATTTTCTGTGGGTTTCATTGTTTTTGTTAGCTGGGGACTGGGGAGGAATGGCTCCCCACAAAGGGGCACTGGTTCAGATCTTTCTGTAATAATCATACATCTGGCTGACCTCAAAACCACCACGGCTGTGCTGTCGGTGACACCTGTTCACCGCTAGATGGCAGTAGAACACCACACATCTTTATATAGTCTGTTAAAATCCTGTGTAATCTGGGTCAGGTTTTATTCAGTTGATGCATCATATGAGAATGATAGATATGCTAGCTCTTAAATATGAAGCAGGCTACATAGCTCATGTTCTAAAGAGTTGTCAGCAGTTGTACCCCATTCAAAACACTACCACAGCAAATATCATGTAGGCAGGCCTATCTGAGCTGCTCTTGGCAGATGTTGTGGCTGAACTTTCCCAATATTGACAGACTGTCTGGGATGGACACTATTTATGGGTCGGCTCAGGTTACAGCCAGTGACCTCAAATAATATAAGAATCTCTATGCAGGGGATCAAAAGTAGCGAAACCAAGATGTCTTCCCTCATTAACCTTCATCGCAGCAGAGAGCAGAGGGGTTTCCTGTGAAGCTAGCTAGATCTACTCAGGGTTTTCTAAAGCTAACCAGCTTCAGTTAGCTTCACACTCAAGCACAGTCTTCATCTGCCTACGATGATGGGGGTATTGCTCCTCCACCTGCCACTAACTCTAGCAGGCTTGGAACTGCATGTACATGTCGCATGGCTAATCGAATGTGAACTCTTCATTGAGGGAATGTTGAAACATCAATCCATGGGCGAGTCAGTGCCACATTTTCATTTGTGCTGAAAAAAAGAAAGTTGTCTTGCAAATTCAACAGGCTATATGATGTGAAATAGGATTTTAGAAGTGCTGTCTTTATTTTATTAGTATATGAACATGGGAAAACAAAGTACCAAGAGCTATTGCAATTGATTGTCAATTAACTCAGAAAGTCAAAAATATCAGTAGTGTGTGTGTGTGAGTGAGTGTGTGAGAGAAAGAGAGAGCGAGCTCTGCCCCTTGGAAACCTGCGGTGGTCCATTCAGTGAGTAGTGTGTGTGTGCCCACCTCCTGTGTGTAATTAGGAAGGAAGCATGTGCTGGGTGATTTATGGTCTTACGGTCCAGTTGTGTCCCCAATCGTTATCTATGAGCTTTAACCATTAGCGCTTATGACAGCAACTTCAGGTGTCCCACGTGGTGCTTTCTAAACAGGGCTGCTTGGGTGGCCTTATTTCGTGTTAGAAGTAATGGTGTGTGTCTACCCTGGAGGTGTTGAATTATGGCCTCTTCTGTCGCTCTTAATGTGCGCCATATGGGGGGAGAAATGAGCTTGAAATATGCAAGGAGAGGGAGTGCTCCTTCAAAGAGAGCCTATGGCTTAATCATGGTGAAGTGTGATGGGCGTAAAGTCATTACGGCACATCTCATCCAGTGATTCAGACTAGATTAGGGAGAATTATTACATTGCAGCTTTTGAGGATTGTGGTTTCACTGCCAATGCAAGGGAAATACACTATCTATACAAAAGTATGTGGACTCCCCTTCAAATTAGTGGATTTGGCTATTTCAGCCACACCCGTTGCTGACAGGTGTATAAAATCAAGCACACATCCATGCAATCTCGATAGACAAACATTGGCAGTAGAATGGCCTTACTGAAGAACTCAGTAACTTTCAACGTGGCACCGTCATAGGATGGACACCTTTTCAATAAGTCAGTTCATCAAATATCTGCCCTGCTAGAGCTGCCCCGGTCAACTGTAAGTGCTGTTATTGTGAAGTGGAAACCTCTAGGAGCAACAACGGCTCAGCCGCGAACTGATAGGCCACACAAGCTCACAGAACGGGACCACCTTGTGCTGAACCGCGTAGTGCGTAAAAATTGTCTGTCCTCTGTTGCAACACTCACTACCGATTTCCAAACTGCCTCTGGAAGCAACGTCAGCACAAGAACTGTTCGTCTGGAGCTTCATGAAGTGGGTTTCCATGACTGAGCAGCCACTCACAAGCCTAAGATCACCATGTGCAATGCCAAGCGTCGGCTGGAGTTGTGTAAAGCTCGCCGCTATTGGACTTTGGAGCAGTGGAAACGCTTTCTATGAAGTGATGAATCCAGTGGAGGCTGCTGAGGGGAGAACGGCTCACAATAATGGCTGGAACGGAGCCAATGGAATGGCATCAAACCATGTGTTTGATGTATTTGATGCCATTCTACAGATTCCGCTCCAGCTATTACCACGAGCCCGTCCTCTCCAATTAAGGTGCCACCAACCTCCTGTGAATGAATCACGCTTCACCATCTGTCAGTCCGATGGATGAATCTGGATTTGGCAGATGCCAGGAGAACGCTACCTGCCCCAATTTGCATAGTGCCAAGTGTAAAGTTTGGTGGAGGAGGAATAATGGTGTGTGGCTGTTTTTTATGGTTCAGGCTAGGCCCCTTAGTTCCAGTGAATGGAAATCTTAACGCTACAGCATACAATGACATTCTAGACGATTCTGTGCTTCGAACTTTGTGGCAACAGTTTGGGGAAGGCCCTTTCCTGTTTCTTCATGACAATGCCTCCGTGCACAAAGCGAGGTCCATACAGAAATGGTTTGTCGAGTTCGGTGTGAAAAAACTTGACTTGCCTGCAGAGAGCCCTGACCTCGACCCCATCAAACACATTTGGGATGAATTGGAACACCGACTGCGAGCCAGGCCTAATTGCCCAGCATCAGTGCCTGACCTCACTAATGCTCTTGTGGTTAAATGGAAGCAAGTCCCACAGCAATGTTTCAACATCTGGTGGAAAGCCTTCCCAGAAGAGTGGAGGCTGTTATAGCAGCAAAGGAGGGACCAACTCCATATTAATGCCCATTATTTTGGAATGAGATGTTCGTAGAGCAGGTGTCCACATACTTTTGGTGATGTAGTGTGTATAGGCCTAATGCCACCCTAGTTCTCATTGCAGTTCAAACTTTATGCACAGAGATCATTAAAATAATCTGCATTGCATCCCTTGTTTTGCCAGTTAACTTGTCATATCATCCTCATGTCTTTTCTACCCAGGCCATAGATTTGATTTAGTCTTCATCATCTATCTCCTCTCTCGTCCATT